AATTTGTGATTATAGAAGTATACAATACAATCATAATAGTGTACAAACTTACAATTCCAATTAATTATAGTCGAATTTCGATTACTGCGGGACCTCTAGTATACGTAAAAATACAATATAAAATCCCCGTTCTTAAAACAACAAATATTAAAACAATCAGGTACTACATACAAAACGACCGCAGAATAAATTCAATCTAGTCGTCGTCATCACACTTTAGTTCCTGAAAGGCGTAATTTATGGCCCAAATGAGTATTATATGTCATAAATATCATATAATACTGTACGTAGTATTAAGACTGAATAGTTGGCAGCGTATCAAAACATTACAAAATCGTTCGGTTTCCTTTAAAACAAGAGGATCGCGTAATAGATGCGGTCCGAGATTCGAACTTCCGCTCGTCACAACGATCCCGCATTGGGGTACAGTCAGTCACACAAGTGCATCGCATTAATTTTCCGATTAATAGATTTGATGCATCGGTACATTAATGAGATACGCTATATATGAAAAAAAACAGTTATGTGTCAATAGCTTTAATATTTATCTATAGCTTTCTTTTGATATAGTTCTTAAAAAGTCACCGTCATATAAAATTTTATACGAAAATATTTTTACTCGTTAATTCAAAATATACTTTTTGCCCATAGCAGATTTTGGTTTGACAGCGACGATATGCTCATATAGATATACTAAGATATGCTCATGCTATGGAGTGCTCTGAGGAATTGTTTGAGATGATACCATCATCTCGTTTTTACCAGCGCACCGCCCGCCATCGGAGTAGAGTTCATCCATACCAACTGGAGCCACTGCGGTCATCCACAGTTCGTTTCCACATATCTTTTTTGCCACGTACCATCCGGCTTTGGAATGAGCTCCCCTCCACGGTGTTTCCCGAGCTCTATGATATNTATGCTATGGAGTGCTCTGAGGAATTGTTTGAGATGATACCATCATCTCGTTTTTACCAGCGCACCGCCCGCCATCGGAGTAGAGTTCATCCATACCAACTGGAGCCACTGCGGTCATCCACAGTTCGTTTCCACATATCTTTTTTGCCACGTACCATCCGGCTTTGGAATGAGCTCCCCTCCACGGTGTTTCCCGAGCTCTATGATATGTTCTTCTTCAAACGAGGCTTGTGGAGAGTATTAATCGGTAGGCAGCGGCTTAGCTCTGCCCCTGGCATTGCTGATGGGTATGGGCGAGGGTAACCACTCACCGTCAGGTGTGCCGTATACTTGTCTGCCTATAAGGGCAAAAAAAAAGGGCAAAGTGGAAGTCACCAGACCGCGTAGAAGGTTGCCCATGCGATGGATAGACCAAGTCAAGTCCGTAGTTTGAGGTTGTTTGCTTGACTGTACCAGACCCACCACAAACCGGGAGAAGTGGCGATTGCTCGTGAGGCGCACAGCATCTGCCCACAGCAACGATACTGAATGACGATCACGACCACTCTGACAAGAGTGATACGACAAGAATGGTCACTATCAAGCTATCCAGCCGTAAGCCAGCGGCTTGGCTCTGCCCTTGGCATTGCTGATGTCCACGAGCGACGGTAACCACTTACCATCAGACCGTATGCTCGTCGGCCTAAAAAGGCAATAACAAAATTATAAATCTACAGTTACAAGAAAAGCTTTTAAAAACTCGCTTGGTTGACGCATATTTTGTAGTTTCATACAGATAAAAAGCTCAGTTATAATTAAAGTAGCTATTAGTATTAATCGCGATTAAGCCTTAATTTTCTTTGTAATAATCTTATTGTAATAAAGTAGTTTTGTTAGTAATGTGCTTTTTTTAACAGTTTTCGTCTCACAAGAGATTCTGAATACTTGTTTGATAACGCTCCCTCCGCTAACAATTTTAAATATGTTATTCACAGCTAAAGCAAGACGCGTAGTGTCTTCACAAAAAAAAAAAACCAATACTTCATTGGCTACAACAATAAAACGAATCAAAACAATAAGTCATTTAATAGCACTTCTATTGACATGTACACCACTGTCCCACCACTCCTCGTCCCGAATCAGCTTCAGCTAGGATGTCATAAATTATCTAACAGCGTGTCAAATTAATTCGGAGAATGTCCAAGCCGTATGTTTCCGCGCTGTCGGATTTATTAATTGTAAGCGCACTTGTTGGCGAATATGTCAGACGAAATGCTTGAAGCCGTCGACCTGTTTACGAAGTTGAATGAGCGTACAGATATTACGTAAATTGCGATTAATTCGGATTCTCCTTTAGCTAACTGACAATGTGACGTACAGTCGCAGCTGCTTTGCTAAGTTGTGCACTGGTACGGGTAATTGAACATTATTAGACAAAAGATTAATTTAAAAGATAGAGAGATAAGAAATATATAATTTATTGCACACCAAAAAAATCATACAAGACTGTATTTGCTAAAGACAAATTGATTAAATTTTAAGAATTTGTGGCTTCTGAAAATTTACTAAATCCTTCATTAAAAATAAAATATAGGATAGGTAATATGTTACTGCCATCTACAGGAGCAANTGAACATTATTAGACAAAAGATTAATTTAAAAGATAGAGAGATAAGAAATATATAATTTATTGCACACCAAAAAAATCATACAAGACTGTATTTGCTAAAGACAAATTGATTAAATTTTAAGAATTTGTGGCTTCTGAAAATTTACTAAATCCTTCATTAAAAATAAAATATAGGATAGGTAATATGTTACTGCCATCTACAGGAGCAACGAGAAACTAATCGAAGCGAAGCCATCTAGTGGCCGACGCCCGTAAACATTTTTGTTGATTGCTTGAGTTGCTTATCTATGACTAATTTATTTGTATGGTTCGCACAAAATTCAATTGTTCACAGACAACACTACAACCTTCCCTGACCACGAAAACTATACTAAATACGTAACGCAATAAAATAGTAAAATGTAAAACTTGATTAAGCGAGATAAAACCGTAAAAGTGATTTTAATAACGTCCACGACTGCCTAATAAACGCATCAAATATCTCGAACCATTTCCCCTTCCCGAGCACGCACTCTGCTAGATAGCGAAAGTGATCCAATACTTCAATGAAAAGTGAAAGCCCACCTTTTCCATATACGAGCAAGCGAACTGGGCTAATGATTTGATTACTTGATTTATGAGGAGCACACATCAGTTGGCTTCAATCAGCAGCCACAATTTGTTTAGTGTACCGACAGCGAATGAAAGTTTCGTATGAACACAGTCGAACTATTTTTACCTGCCCGCGTTCTAAGCCGACAGGTGAGAATGGTATATGTTTATATAAATAAAAATAAACTCGAAACACTCTTAAATAGTTCATTCTTAATCTGGTTTTAACGATTGTTTTAATGCCCGCGCTCTCTGCGCTTCAATAATTTACGACGAAGCTTAAAATGGCTTCCGATTGTCTTCTTGTATTTTATTGTTTCTGTAAACAACATTTCTCGGATTAAAATGTACGTTGTAAAATCATTTTTCGTAACTCAAACGGACATTTTATATTTAAAGATTAAAATAAAAATGAGCATCCTAACGTTTTTACTGGTGGCAGGACCTCTTGTGAGTCCGCGCGGGTGGGTACCACCACCCTGCCTATTTCTGCCGTGAAGCAGTAATGCGTTTATGTTTGAAGGGTGGGGCAGCCGTTGTAACTATACTTGAGACCTTAGAACTTATATCTCAAGGTGGGTGGCGCATTTACGTTGTGGATGTCTATGGGCTCCAGTAACCACTTAACACCAGGTGGGCTGTCAGCTCGTCCACCCATCTAAGCAATAAAAAAAACGTGACAAAACTATGTATGAATAAAACTAGGTAGGTCTCGTAAATGATGAAAAATGCTTTTTTTACTTTAATCTAATAAATAAACATTCTGTCCCTTGAATGAATCTTAGAAACTTGTATTATCTAGCTTAGCAACTTACAGCTCTTAGCTACTGCAGTAACTTTGTTATAGCCTAGTGAAAGTGATACAACATAACACTTGTATACTTGAATATGTGTTTAATACTAATAGTAACACGGTTAGGTTATGTAAGCGGTCCTTACTCGCGCTTCCTTCATTCGCATTTCGGTATATGCGTATTTAAAAAAAAATGCGACCCAATTCCTATATTCGCGGACAAAGATTTCTTTATTCGTAGATCTAATCAGTATACCGGTACATAAACATTGATAAAAAGGATTCCAATATGTAGATATCATTTGTTTTGAAGTCGTCGTGGCCTAACGGATAAGACGTCCGGTGCATTCGTGTTGAGCGATGCACCGGTGTTCGAATCTCAGGCGGGTACCAATTTTTCTAATGAAATACGTACTCAACAAATGTTCACGATTGATTTCCACGATGAAGGAATAACATCGTGTAATAAAAATGAAACCCGCCAAATTATAATTTGCGTAATTACTGGTGGTAGGACCTCTTGTGAGTCAGCGCGGGTGGGTACCACCACCTTGCCTATTTCTGCCGTGAAGCAGTAATGCGTTTCGGTTTGAAGGGTGGGGCAGCCGTTGTAACTATACTTGAGACCTTAGAACTTATATCTCAAGGTGGGTGGCGCATTTACATTGTGAATGTCTATGGGCTCCAGTAACCATTTAACACCAGGTGGGCTGTGAGCTCGTCCACCTATCTAAGCAATAAAAAAAAACATGCTTTTCCGTTTTCGGAACATATACCCCGCGAATAGGGACCTTTTACAACCATACGATGATGCACTATGACAGCCCACTGAGTTTCTCGCCGGATCTTCTCAGAGAGTTGCGGTTCTGATCAGGTAGTAGATTCTGCGAAGCACTGCTCTTGCTAGGGCCAGTGTTAGCAACACCTCCGATTTGAGCCCCGAGAGCTCACCTACACGCTAGGGTAACGCTGATATAGCCTCTCAAGGCTAAAGGAAGGAAAAAGCACGATGATTATTAGTTTCTATAAGCACTTAACCCTAAGCCATTTATTAATCAAAAAAAAAGTTGATAGATAATTTTTCATCCTCAGCATCCTCGTGGTCTCAGTCTCCAGCCGAAGATGTAGAGAAGGCAAAATTGGTACGTCAGCCTCGCCGCGACGAGACCGGAAAACCGCACATAAAAAGACCCATGAACGCGTTCATGGTTTGGGCAAAGGACGAACGCAGGAAGATCCTCAAAGCGTGCCCCGATATGCACAATTCCAACATATCCAAGATCCTGGGAGCCAGATGGAAGGCCATGTCGAACGCTGAGAAGCAACCGTATTATGAAGAACAGTCAAGACTATCGAAACTTCACATGGAAAAACATCCCGATTACAGGTTAGTTTTTTATTTTATTTCATTGCTTAGGTGGGGGGACGTGTCCATGAGCCCATAGACGTGAGCCCATAGACATCTACAACGTAAATGCCGGTAAAAAAAAACGGTAGGTGAGATGAGTTTATTAACACTGACCCTAGCAAGGTAGTCTTATTTATTTGTGTATAGATAACACTCATCCCATAATTTTAACACAAAGTACAAGAATATATTACGTACGTGTTAAATGCACGAAATTTGATTTTTACATTCTATTTTATTATTTTGCTTGTTTCACAACATACCTATTCAAATAGTCTACGACATTATGCGGAAACAGCCTGTACATACGTGATGCTAATAAATCTTTTGCCTGTCCCATTATAAGTTATTTGTGGAGACCGTATAATTTATATCAAAACGAACGTTAACTTTCAGATATCGACCAAGACCGAAAAGAACGTGCATTGTTGACGGGAAGAAGATGCGAATATCCGAATACAAGAATCTGATGCGGACGCGCCGACAGGAGATGCGGCAGTTGTGGTGTCGCGACGGGGGCAGCGAGCTGGGCTTCCTGCCGGGGCTCTCGTCTCCGGGCCCCTCGAACAGTTCCCCTCCCCCGAACGGGGGCAGCTACATGAACCAGTCGTTCTCCCCCCCGCTGTCCCCCGGCGAGGAGGATTGAGGGTCGGCGCGCGGCTGGCCCTACCCGCACGCCGCGCCGCACCTACTCCACGCACACCACCCCTGGTAAACCATCGCGAATTTAGACAATTCGACTTTTGTCCGGAACGCTAAAACATTGATTTGGAATAGGCAATCGGACAATATCACAAAAACTCTATAAACGAAATGGAAACTGTTATTTCATAAACTATCCTACTTATAAACGCGTGACGTCATACGTGGGTACATAAACGAGGTCATTTGTAGTGTTTCGAGAACGATTAAAAATATTAGAAAATGTAATTTAATCTTGTGATTTAATGTAACATTAAAATTAATGTGTATTCATTTTAATTATTTCAGATAAATGTGTTGATTAATTAATTATCTGTATGTATCGTTGTAAAATTACACATTGATTTTTGAAACCCCCCGATTGCCTATTGTATTGATAACGATATAGTATTTGGCTAATGAATGTAGTAATAATCTAGAAATATTTATTATCATCTTAGCTCCTCACGTGCGATATCAGCAGGCAAATTAGATACTAAATTAACCTATGTAAGTGTAAAGGTATGGCTACAAGGATCTTTACGTCATTATACGCTATCCGTCACTGCTTTTGTAAATAAACATGAAAACTATAGAAGTTTACTTAATCAAACTAATTGTTGATAAACTAGTGTCTCGAATCGGATCTCTCGTANTACGTCATTATACGCTATCCGTCACTGCTTTTGTAAATAAACATGAAAACTATAGAAGTTTACTTAATCAAACTAATTGTTGATAAACTAGTGTCTCGAATCGGATCTCTCGTATAAACATTTATATTAAAATAATGAGATTATTCCATTAGAGAATTAAGGATTTGTAACGCATATCTCATTGTCTATACTAAAGTTTTTTTTTTTTTTTAATAAAATCATACATCACTTTTAATTGGAATGTTGTAATTTTTTTTTTCATATTTTTTTTTTAAATATCGTTTTTGTTTTTTTATCTGGTTACATAATTCATTTTCTTAAGAGCATATTATTTTGAAAAGGTGAATCGGACTGTGTCACAGAATACCATCATCACAAGTAAATACTACGTGTAATCTGTATATAATCATGTTGTTAGCTTTGTAGATAACATTCACATAATAACACTTAAGTAATATCCGGCTAATATTTAGGTATTGTAAGTTCATATATTGATGTAGAGACTTAGGATTTAGTGAAACTTTTGACTTTTGCGTGGCCATGTATAAAAATTAGTTCGAAGTAAAATGTAACGAAAACTCGTTGTTACGAAGTTAATATGCGAAACCAAAAATAAGCTTTGTGCTTTGAAAACGTTTGTGTTGTGAACACACATGGGAAGCTGTAATCCAGTGAGATTATATGCATAATGATTTAAATACTCATATTTTAAGAGATTGGTAGAAGACATTTCTACGGTGAATGTAAATAGAGTAATAAAAAAAAAAAACATGGTTAATGTTCTTTTAATGTCGGTTAAATAAAAATATGTGTATACTTAAAGAAACTCACAGTAAGTATAATATCTTCTGACAACATTTTAGCATTTAGGTTGTTGTATGAGAACTGAACATTCACATTGTGAACATTCGTGAGTTTTTTTTGTTTGTTTTTAATTGTAATAAACTCATAATAATTAGGAATTTTAGATGAAAATGTCATGATATGAATGACAACAAAATTAGGTGAATCACTATAATTGAAATGCCATAACTAGGTCAATTTTAATGATGTCAATTTGTCGAAAACCCTAAATTAAATACGAATAATGTTCTTATTCAGTCGACATTTTGTAAACAAGTTAAGAATTCAAAATAAAATACTTTCGTGCAAAAGGACCTGATACTACGGCACGTGACGTTTTGACATTTCGTGACTGTCAATTTTGACACGTGCGCGTATTTGGGGCAGCGTTATTTAAATACTAAAAAAAAAAAACATATTGAATTTTTCGCTTTATCGAATCGTGCAATTTATTATAAGTAGGTTTTAGACGAATAATAAACTGTAGCCACACACACCCATATTAAATATTGTATCAAGTAGATTTAGTACTTGTGTAGTTGTAACTTGTAAATCGAGTAATGTTGATGTAGACGCCATTTCTATTGTTATTTATTTCATCTTAGCGTATTTTGTTTTGTTTCATTTTATTATTTCTTAATAATTTTTGTAAGTAAAATGCCAGTAATCGAAGATTATTTAGCGTACGTTCGTGGCTATTAATATGACGTTTTAAATTAAGTAGTACATGCTAAGGGTTAGTAATGTGGTTAAATTATTTATTTTTTATGTTGAAATACTGTATATAGATTGATTTATTTCGATTTAAAACGTTATCTGTGGTTATATGTAGCGTTACTTAACTTGTCAGTGAGCGATCTCGATCGATTGATATTACAGCAGCAACAGTACGTACTTCTTGCCATAAACACTCTTGTTAGTACGCAATGTACTTAAAAATTTGTTAAAATTAATGAATAGTTTTTTTTTTAATTGTTTTTTTTTTGTTATTGTCTGAACATATTTAATTAGGATTGGAGGATCTGTTTTTATTTCTTTCTCAAATCATTTAAGTAGCTAGAATTTAGGTTTTGAATACCAAGTATAAAAATTCAGGACACATTATCTAAAAATTGTGCCAAAACCCAGAAAGTATAATAAAATCTAAACATTAAAAAAACTTTTGTTTTATTTATGGAAACTAATTTTACTTTGATTTGAAACATTTCGCGTTCTAGAGTTACACCATACAAGGAATTTTTGGAAAACTAAAGGATGGTTATGTTCATTCACACATGTTTGCCTAGCTATTCACTGGTTATACCAGCTACGCCCAGACGGGTAGATGAGCTCAAGAGCTCAACCTGAGAGAATTTGCTAACACTAGCCCTAGTAAGCGCGATTCGCATTTGCAGTAGGCATCGATTTTGCAGTAGGCAGCGGCTTGGCTCTGCTCCTGGCATTGCTGAAGTCCATGGGCGACGGTAACCACTTACCATCAGGTGGGCCGTACGACCGTTCTGCATAAAAGGGCAATAAAAAAAAAAAAAAAAAAACTACCACCGGCTCGGAATCGCGACCCACTGAGAAGATCCGGCAAGACACTCAGTGGGAAATATTTATACAATACCTTTATTATTTGCTTAGTTGGGTGGACGAGCTCACAGCCCACCTGGTGTTAAGTGTTTACTGGAGCCCATAGACATCTATAACTCCACCCACCTCGAGATATAAGTTCTAAAGTCTCAGTACAGTTACAACGGCTGCCCCACCCTTCAAACCGAAACACATTACTGCTTCACGGCAAAAATAGACAGGGTGGTGGCATCTACCCGTGCGGACTCACAAGAGGTCCTACCACCAGTTGGACTACGTACTAAACCCCTGTTTGTTTCTACCGTGTAGCAGTCATGTGTAAATCAATGTGGATTGCAGCAGATTGTGGATTACTTTAAGATGTCTATGGACTTAAACACCTGTGTGCTTAGTGCGAGTTTGTTAACAAATCAAATCAAATCAAAAAAAAATTATTCAACATAAATGAAAGTACATACTTCGACACCTCCATGCAACAACATCGTAACTCATTTTTTTACAAATTTTGAGTTACAATGCTATTCTGATACAAAAAGAAAAAGGATTTTTTCTGTGTAATCATTGTAACTCTACGCCTATTCAATTTGAGTTTATGAAAGAGGTAAAAGCATTGTAAATCCCCAAAAAAAATAGATTAACCTGCAAGCTTATTGTAACTTTATTTACAATACACAAAATATTACGAATATCTAATCAATGAAATACAACAAAATTGTAACTTTATTCACAATCTTTGTACAGACAGCATGACTCTGGAGTTTATGAACAGAAAATACCATGCTACTGCATTGTAACCTGAGTTACAATGTTTTTGCACGGATTTTGATATTAGTTTTAGTGTGGGCCTGACCCCTAAGATGAATTACGATCTTGTTGGTCGATAGTTTACTTGCATTGTGTGTGCGGTTTACGTGATTAAAAACTGTAAAGGATATCCGAAACGGCGAGATATGCGATTTTTAAAGATTTTTGGTGTCTGAGTGACTATTCAAGGCAAGTAGACTTTGTATGTAAATGTGTAGACAGAGTTTAACGAAAATAAATAACAACATCAGCTGTTGGTCACTTACGACGGTCCTTTAATTACTATTTATATGCTGATGGCGACAAGAAAAGGTTTTGTAAAAAAATATTTTCGACACTCTCTGTATTACCGACATGTGTTTGTTGTAAACTATTTACAAGAAGATAAATGCAGGAGGTACAGGAATTATAACAAGGGATTTGAGAGGAAGTCATAATAATCGAACAAATCTGATCCCAGATGCAGTGAAAGATTCTGTCAAAAATCACATATCATTAACCCCTCGAATTGATTCACATAACGTAAGAAAAATAACTTTCAAATTATACTTTACAAATTATACTTTTCAACATACCCTAAATTATATGGGCTTTACGTTGATTGAATGAAAGTTAATTGTCCAATAGAACAAGTGGCAAATTCTAGACAGTATAAAGATATATTTTATAAAGAATACAACATAGAATTTCATAAGCCAAAAAAAGACCTCTGTATCTGACTTTTAAGTTTCAATCCAAAAAATATCCAATCATAGTCACAGCCGCTTATGACTTATAGAATGTTTTGACAACACCCCGGTCTGAAATTTCATTATTTTACTATATAAGGAAATTTGCTGTATATAATTTTACCATCTTTGATTTAGGAAATTCCAAAGGATATTGGTACGTATAGAACTAGACAACAGGCTGTGTTTCTTTTTATTAAACAGAAATATGAAGAATTATATGTGCTAAAACAACAAGCGAGCCTTATGTCGTAACTGAATTAGATCAGAATGTAATTCTAGATTTAAAAGGTCTTCTGACGGATAAAAACCACTTGGATAGTTATGAGAAAAAAGTAATGTGGTCTAAATTAAAACATATTAAAATCGAAAAGTTTGGCTGGTAAGTACATTGGTCTTCTCAATTTTTCTTTATGGCGCCGAATCCTGGACTATAAGACGAAGTGAGAGAGCAAAGATCGACGCTTTTGAAATGTGGTGTTGGAAACGGATGTTGCGAATTCCATGGATAGCACGCCGGACCAACCTGTCCATTCTGAAGGAGCTCGGTATTGCCACAAGGCTGTCCGCTATCTGCTTCCAACGTATTCTCGCGTACTTCGGCCACATCGCTCGTAGAGTCCCCGATAACTTGGAGAAGCTGATGGTAGTTGGTCAAGTTGACGGGAGAAGATCACGCGGACGCTCACCTATCCGCTGGTCTGATCTGGTTAAGACGCTCACCGGCCTGCCAATAACCGAGGATATAAAGACCGCCGAGGACAGGAAGACGTGGGGAAGCATTGAGCATCGAGTGGTCCACATTTTAGATTAGACACGACCTTCAGTAATGAAGAGACCGACTCAGAAAAAAGACTCCCAATTTCCACAGGAAAATTTAAAGATCTCATAAGTTTATGCAAGTGCAACACGATTCCAGAAATGTATCACAAATTTTACTTAAATCTTGCACATTCAACTCACTTAGCTGAAGATAACAAAAGTGATGATGAAAATTAATTGTTATTGAGTTCTATTTTATTAACGTTACCAAAGAAAATGGAGTTGATTTCTTTTGTTATTCCTGTCATTAGCGGCTGATTTTAAATGGTAGGTAGGTACTGCGTGCGATGCTTTAATAAGTGTTTGTTCTAATTAACTTTTAATAAATTTTGTCACTAAGCTGCAGTTTTATTCTTACAATCAAATATTTTAATTAATACTAATCCTGTTATAGTGACTTATGTCCATTATGATAGGATTTTTAAGAAATTTGCAATTATTTGTATGAAAATCAATTGAACGTTTACATACAATTTTCATGCAATATAATTGTAACTCAGAGTTACAATTGTCTGAAAAGATAAAAAACATAATAAGTAAAAAAATTAAGAACGTAACTCAGACATACAATGTTTGTCACTGTAGTTCAAGGGACTTGACTAGGCATTGTTTTTCACGTAAGTCATGAAAAGCCATGAAAACAACTTTTTTCTTATAATCTTAAAGTACAAGACAATAGTGCACATTAAAAACAAAGGATAACAACACTTTCGAAGATTGTAGAGTGAAACCTTGAATAGCTATGATATTTGGAATTTTCATTTTGCTCTCACCAAAAATCTCAAAAACTTAGTTACAATTTTATTGCATGGAGGTGTCGACTTGTTGAACGTCAAAATTCACAAGAACTAGCCTCCGTCCTGAGAAGAATTGGCAAGAAACTCAGCGGGCATGTTTTTTTTTTTTAATATTAGATTATTTTTTTAATATTAGATTTTATTAAATATTCATTTTTACATGAGTATAATAACATAACAATTATTACAATATTGAAATGCCCGGAGCGAGCAACTCATTCCCACTCTGTGCAATCTTCTAGATAATCATTGACTTTATAGTAAGCTTTATTGCACAGATGTTCTTTAATAGTTTTCTTAAACCTATGTATGTAGGTTCTGAACACCTTGTGGGATTTTGTTGTACAGGCGCACAGACAAACGTTCTCGATAGCGTAAAAGTTAACCCAATTTTATATGCAGTTGGAACAGCGCCCCTAGCGGCAAACGTACGCTAACGATCCCATTTCATACAAATATGAGCTAACTTTTACGCTATCGAGAACGTTGAAAAACTCGCACTAAGCACACTGGTGCGTCACTCTTCCAACTTCGCCAGCACTAGATAATCTAAAAACATTAATTTTCACGCCAACTAAAATTAGCAATTGACAATGAATTATAAAAAAAAAACCTTGTAATACACAAAACATATTTATTTGTTAGTAATAAAAAATATTCCTTTACATTCAGTTGATACATCTATACATTCTATATTCGACATTTAAACTACTTATTTGAGTTAAATACTAAGGGGTATTGTTTTATCCTACTAAATATTATCAGTACAAAAACATGAATATGCTGCTAATTCTGATTGGAGAAAGTGAGCATTTTTAAGCGTATAACATAGAGGTTCGAAGGTTAGGTGGTAAGTTTGTTCATGACCTTGAACCGTTATATGCCGATAATTGTGCCAATCAACAAAACTGATCCACTAATCCAATGATGACGTTTCATATCGAGGGATGAAAGGCTTAATACGCGACATTTATCTTTGTAACTAAGGTACGTTTTATTTGGAACTAGCGACCCGCTCTCGCTTCGCTTCGGAAACTGTAATTTATTATTGATTTCTCCACTGTTTAATGGATGTTATTGTACATACTAGAGGTCCCGCAGTAGTCGAAATTCGACTATAATTAATTGGAATTGTAAGTTTGTACACTATTATGATTGTATTTTATACTTCTATAATCACAAATTTCGCCAAGACTACACTATAAAAAATACTAACAAAGACAAACAATATTTAATCTATTCTCAATTTGACAACAGACGTCAAGAACAAAAGTTTGAGAATAAATAGTATGCATGCGTGTGTGCGTCGAATACATGGTATGTAGTGTGTGTAATGTTTTCTTTAATGATTTAATGTATCTTTTATGCATTATTTTAAAAAAATATTAGCATTGTGCACTTCTTCTCTATATTCTCTATAAGTGTGTAAAATTTCATACTACTCCGTCCGCGCAATTTTCGTAGAAAGGGATACAAAATTTTTGCTTCACGTATTAATATATAGATAAAGATTCCTCTTCAATCACTATCTATTAAAAAAAAAAACCGAATCAAAATCAGTTGCGTAGTTTTAAAGATTTAAGCCTACCTACATAGGGACAGACAGATATAGGGACAGAGAAAGCGACTTTGTTTTATACTATGCAGTGATTAGCATCGACAGTGCGATGTTTTTAATTGAACTACAATTAAGTTTACTCCATTCAAATAGCTAGAGAACTTTTGTTTCTTATGATATTTTTTCCAAATTTTAAAGTTTAATTGGCTCTCCTGTAATTTTGGAAAAATCGCGCTTAAACCTTTATTAGTCGTTCACCCCTCGAATTATGAGCAATAACATAATATTTTACATGAGTACATTTATATAAGTTTTTTGGTTTAGTCTTAAAAACGAAATAAATGAAATACGTACTTACGTCAATATTACGATGATCAGAAAACTGCCAAGTCACGAACACAATCTTTCATATATAGGTCAAATCGGTATAATATCGAGTTTCCCTACCGCTGATCAACAAATATATAATAAATAGATTATAATAAAAATGTATTTTATGACGGCTGTCCTTAAAAACCATAATTCGTGACATCGCGGCAGAAATATACGTCCTAATTAAGAGTCAAAACAAACAAAAGATATGTTTTGCATAACTAATAAACTGATAAAATTTAAAGAAAAATCGTGTGCTAGTATGTATTCATAACAAAAACAATTATTTGTTTATATTTTTATACATGAGTTATTTTTAGAACCATCATTACAACGATAGATATATTATACAAAAAATTTATTCGAAAAGTTTAAAAAATCAGTGTTACTCTAATTGGACAATTAAATCACAATTTTTTTTTCTATCTGGCAACACAAGCCAACTTGTTTCCTCGTATCTTTTTCCCTAAACTAAGATTAGACAGAGATACATATAGCAAATCAGTATCTTTCTATAGATATGATATGACATAGTATTAAAAACCAGTGACATATTATTAACGTAATTATTACGAAAACATTTTAAATAGGTGCTTAATGATGACAGAAAAATATTTGTGTTACTTTAGAAAATTCGGTTACCAAAGAGCTTTATGGGCATTTGCGCTGTAGATGTCTATGGGCTCCAGTAACCACTTAAAACCAGGTGGGCTGTGAGCTCGTCCACCCATCTATGCAGTAAAAAATAAAAAAGAAAGTAACCTTAAAATTTCCGTATAAATAATGCATCGAGTGAGCTTGCACTCCGGCTCGGCTTACATAATACAATTGAGACTGCGAGCTCATGTCTCAAACTGGACAGCATTTAGTGTGTACCCTTTTAGTCTCTTAACCTCACACAGGGCGGGCCGGGGTTCGTCGACGCAATGATTTTTACTATCATTCATAAGAGCAATGCAACTGAACTTTTGTTAGTCTATTGCAGTAAATTGTTGGGTTTTTTTTACAAATTCCCATATTCTTCCCTCATTCCGTGGACTATAAAGTCGAGAAAGTTCCCTATTGATATTGCTAATGATAAGACGGATATACGGTTTCAAATTAGTGCCGTTACGAAGTACAGTTGTAATTTCTACCAGCCAAATGTACAATGTACATAATATATTATATTAACTAAGCATAAGGGTTTAATAACATGCGACAGTCTCATAAAAAAAATCTATGAAAAACATTAGGATATTTCTCTTCGGAGAATATAATCATACGATATCTAATAAATAAAAATAAGAAAAATAAGCTTTATGATCGCAGCTTAAGTACCAAATTAAAATGAAAAACCTATTTAGAATTAAACTATGATATTCTAATCCGTATCTAGGTACTTACTATTATTATTCACAAAATAAATAGCACTATAAAATTTTGTTTCATACACTACTGTATTACAATAAAATTATAATATTTAAATAATATCGATTTAAGGCAAGTTCTACTACATTGATTCGCACTTAACCTACTAGGTAGGTAATTACCTACTTTAATAATAAATAAATAAACCTTTTAATCGCATTTATTCGTGTGAAATAAATCGATTCATTATAAATATTATTATAAAGTGTTACCATCCTAAAAAAATATATGAGAATGCCACAGTGTTGCTACTATACAAAAAAAATCTGCATTACACGTAGATTTTTCAAGCAAAAGGCCAATGATATTTTATCTGATACACGAAAAAACTATGAATGTTATTAATTAATCTTTCATTTAACATCGACGCTTTTACACGCACAAGCGTGCGGGCACAATTTCAGTTTGTTTAAATCCAAACACGCACCGTGGAAAGTGTGGCCGCATTTAAAAACCCAGAGTCCGCCATCTTTGATCAAAACGTCATTTCGTAACGGCAGCCCGCACAGAGCGCAATCGGATACCCCGTTGTTAATGTCGGCTATGTTATCTAAAATGTCGGTGAAATCGTTTTTATCGTTCGAAGCCAACGGCTTCAGGCCCCAGTGCCGGGACTTCGCTGCCACCGATATCGGCAAGGAAGTGTTCTTCAGTTGTCCTCCTGTTGTGTTTCGGAGAAGATTGCATATCTGTTGAAAACAAAGCGATTTTGCTTAATAATAAAATCGTATTCCTTTATTTTTATTAACTGACTTATAAGCTTATGAGACTGAAAAATTAGGGGGGTTGGGGTGAAGTGGAGTAAATTGAATTTGGTTCAATTCAACCCGTTGAAGACCCAAGTTTGCGCTTTCAATGCGAAGAAGGACCCCTTTGTCATGGCGCCGCAATTCCAAGGAGTATCCCTGCAGCCTTCCAAGAGTATTGGGATACTTGGGGTCGACATTTCGAGCGATGTCCAATTTCGGAGTCATTCGGAGGGCTAAGCCAAGTTGGCGTCAAAAATGCTGGGAATCCTCAACAGAGCGAAGCGGTACTTCACGCCTGGCCAAAGACTTTTGCTTTACAAATCAAAGGTCCGGCCTCGCGTGGAGTACTGTTCCCACCTCTGGGACGGGGGTCCCAAACACCAGCTACTTCGATTTCACTCCATGAGACCACTCTTATGCAATCTATACATATAAATAAAATTCGAGTGTCTGATTGTAATATTGAAATAACCGCTTTTTACGACATGCTTATGAATATATATACGGTACATACACCAAAATAACATTTTTTACATTTTTTCCTGTCTGTCTGTTGGTTCCGGCTAATCTCTGGAACGGCTGGACCGATTTTGATGAGACTTTCACAATAGGTAGCTGATGATATAAGAAGTAATTCAGGTTACTTTTTTAAGACTAGCTTCGCCCCGCGGCGTCACCCGTAGTTATTGTCGTACCGCGCGCAACATGGCGGGACTCTCCTATCAATAATAAAACTTAATGTTTCCGAAGCGAAGCGAGGGCGGGTCGCTAGTAAATAAATAAAAATCACTAGAAATAATATTTAATAACAATCTTACCTCATATTTAGAGTCTTCATATCTATAGCTGGTGTATAGAGCGTCGACTAGTTGCGCTGTCACCGTCGAATCATACTTCTCGAACATGGTAACCATCAGGCACGTGTGATAGAACTTGACGGTCACCTCGCCCGGCTCTATCAGACGTGAATGCTCCTCCATTATCCTCAGCGAGTTCCTTCCGCCGACGCTTTTGATCATCAGCGCCCCCAGATCGTCCCAGCACAGCGTGTCCTTGACGGAAACGTTGCTGAACTTCTTCGAGCAGTTCAGACAAACGTTCGCGTGCAACGTGGCGTACAGCTGGACCGCTCTACTCCAGCTGTCCAAAGTGAACTGCGGCAGGAAATTGTGCAGCAAACTCTCATCCAGAATCTGCATTAATATCCTCAAGATATTCACGAGATCTTCGTTTCGTCTCAAATATAAAATTTTCCTCCACAAATACGGCATCCGTTTGCACGTGTCGTAGCATTGCTCTTTCGTCGGACTAGACCACTGTCTCTCGATGAATTCGTCGATCAGCTCGAAGAAGATCGGGTTTTGCTTGGTCCTCGCGTAAGGAAGCGGGTAGCCGCACTCGCAACCGAAGTCCGTATGTTTCTGGCCCTTCAGATTAACCGATATGCAGGAGTCGACAAAGTATTTGTACAGAACCTCATCACTTATGATGCAGTCCAAGAACTCGGCCCGTTTCGTCGTCTCGCTTAGATACTTCAAGAATATATTGTTCGGTACGTATCTAGATTCCTCCGGCGAGCCGACGGACGTGCAATAATTCTCCAACAGTCTCATCAATTCGTAAACTGACCTAATATCACAGGCGAAGCTTTCTATAATAGAAATTAAATTCGATTTTTCGTCTTCCTTACCGACGAGGCTTAACCTAAAATATTGATAGAGAGATTTACAGATATCGTCTTTGTCTGAGCTAATATTATTTTCTATTTCTATGGCTTTTTGACTAGGTTGTTTGAAGACTATATCGCGTTCCAATACAGGCGTTTGATCAAGAGCTAAAGGTTCATCTCTTGATATTATTTTGGGAGTTTGGGCGGGGGGCATAATTAGTTTCTCTTGCGGTTTCTCGACACTGAGGTGCTTCATTTTCCCTTCGAAGTCGTCCCATTTCTCTTTTAAAATCTTTTTACTCGTATTCAATCTGTCCGTGACCGACACACTGAAGTCTTTCAGCGTCTGCATGGCCTCCGGTGGTATGTTACCGAAACTATATTCTTCGTTATTGTCGATTGTTTTATCCATTTCACTCATCAATGAAGTTTGTGCGTTATACGTATTGTCGACCACGTATATCCCAGATTTCACTTTCTTGGCTTCGTTCTCTTTCAATCTTTCGAACTTCACTAACAGAGTATGGATAGTTTCCAGCAGTTCTTTATCGTCAATTTTCTCTTTCAGCCCGGCGAGGATGTGCAGCCTCGTTGACATCTCGTTGGCCAGTAAATAATCTTTGTATTGAGCACACAAATTCGCACATAAACGATGCTTGTCATCGACGTAACATTTGATCAGGAATTTGTCTATTTTCATGAACTTCAAATTGATTAACGATCCGTTATTTAGCCAAACGTATATCGCATCACCGTAGACCTTACAGTCGGCTATGCTTTTGTAACGAGCGCACCAAATCGTGTGGTCAACATTATCCAAGTTGAGAAAGAAAAGAGCGTCTTTCTTGTACGAAAATATGACGCCATTGAGATTGTAGATCCTCGGAAAGTTGACCGATAGGCCGTCAGCGTTAATCGTGGCCATTTCTTCGAAACTATGTCTTTCGTGTTCATAAGCGTCTACTGTGAGAATATTCACGGGACTCCTTCCTAAAATCTGTTTGAACTGGTGCGTCCTTTTGACTGTCCCATCGACGGCGGCTTCCCACAACCGAGACGAGGGTCTGGCGGCGAAGACCAATGTGTTATCCAGTCCCCTACCAACGGCGAAGCTGCTGTCCTCGTTGATAATACTGTATTTCCTGACTTCCGAATAATCCTTAACTTTGTTCTTAATGTTAATCTCGACGGCATTCTCTTTGTTGACGAAACAAGCACCGAATTCGCCGTCCCTTAGTTTCTGGCCTATCTGCCTGTATTGTTCTTCGGTCGTGTCGCATAGATAACACCGGGTCAACGTCGATACCAATAGCATATACGATTTTACGTCAATTTGACATACACGAGAATCCAAATTCATGATCGTTTGCGACGAACTCTGGAACATTGTTTTCGCCTGAAACAGCGCAAGCGAACACTCACTCACTTATAGACCATTTACTTACGCGGGAAATATAAACAGACCATTTACTTACGCGGGAAATATAGACGTAATAATAGAAAAACATTTCAAAAATTTTACAAACTGATTCGTGAATATTTTTCAAAATATGATTTCGAGTATTCGTCACTTATTTAAAGTAAATTCGGCGGTTTTCTCTACCCTATTAGTGAACTTCTTATTTTGCAAATGGTGCGATAATTATGATGGTACTAACCCATCGACAATTCCCACCAACGACATGGTTATTTTTTATTATGATTCTTCACATTTTATATGCAACCATAACTGAGGGTCAGCTGGTGTTAAGTCGTTGCTGCCGCCTCTTGAGATCAAGTGGATGACCCCACGTTCAGACACGAGGTCGAACTCTTAATTGAAGACATTAGTTGATGAAGGGGATATGAAACAATTTGTTAATTTTGTGAAAACGGGCAACAAACTTTTGTTACTTATACTTTTTATAGCCTTTAAACCCGGAGTTTTAAGGTCTAATATGGTTTATAGGCACATAACACCTTCATTCAATGTTAAAACTAAAAAATCTAAGAATGGTACTTAACCCCTTCATCCACCCATGTCTTCAATTGTATCACGACTCTTCAAAGCCCGAATGACTGATTCGCGGCACATATGTATGTAGGGCAGTAAGCAAGTATTGGTTTCAATTTGTCTCAACTGGTTCCAGAGTTCTCTACTACGTCATTCAATCGCACCACTGGGTATAAAAAGGCGCAAAATAAACGACTCATAAGTAAAAAACTAATTTACTGGTGGTAGGATCTCTTGTGAATCCGCACGGGTAGGTACCATCACTCTGCCTATTTCTGCCGTGAAGCAGTAGTGCGTTTCGGTTTGAAGGGTGGGGCAGCCGTTGTAACTGTACTTAGACCTTAGAGCTTATATCTCAAGGTGGGTGGCGTATTTACGTTGTAGATGTCTATGGGCTCCAGTAACCACTTAACACCAGGTATGCAGTGAGCTCGTCAATCCATCTAAGCAATAAATAAATAAAAAATCGGCTGTACACTCACGATGAAACTCTGCAGCTGCAGGACCGCTATCTTGCCTACGTCGTCGCCGCTAAACAGCATGTTGCCGCTCCAGGCCAGCGCGGTGACCTCGTTGCCCTGGTGCTCCTTGGACGTGACTACCGAATGCAGGGCGTTGGGTCCCTGTTCGCATCCTGAGACCGTGATAACACCGCGCCCATTCGCGAAGCCGACGTGCTTCTCGTCAGCCGATATTGACAGACGCGTGATAGCGCCATCCTGAAGTTAAATAAGGAATTTTGTCTGCTAATTTATTTACTCAACTTTATGCATAAAAGTTCAGGTGGCGGACTCAACGCCTAAAGCAGTTTGTGCCAGACAACCAACGGTGGTGTTAATGCTACTTTTCGTTCAGAAAAGTGCCGAAGCTTTATTTTGAAAGCTAGACGATCAGAGAATAAACATGGCTATTTTTCAATAATTACATGGCCCTAAACTAGGACACCCTGTATTATGGGAAACAGAAAGTGATATGCAAACTTAAATACCGTTAAAGATGTTAAGCATCTAAACTTAAGCCCACACGAGTCGTTACCATTGTAAAAGATTGCAGCTGACATAGTGTCAAGGTAACGGATGTCAGTCAGTAGCACACGTATGCTACAATGTTACCTAGAAAATTCCCAGACTTCAGTAAATCAAACTCAAGAAAATACTCTTGCTTAGTCTACTAATACAACTACTAACTAATAAATTTCAATGCAACATACCGAATTAAATTCCTTCCTTAACGCTATCGTTATCTTTACAGTCCTTATACATAGAACTAATTATTCTGGTAAAAGTAAAAAATATTTCACTATCCAAGATTTTGTTCAATGAAATTTCTGCCTCGATAGTAATATGGAAGATGAAGTCATGACAAAAAGGCAAAGATAAAATTTTCTAATAAGATTTCAAAGATTTGTCGGGGTGACTGTACTGGTGAATATACTATACTAGTGGATATACTATACTAGTGGATATACTATACTGGTGAATATACTATACTAGTGGATATACTATACTGGTGAATATACTATACTAGTGGATATACTATACTGGTGAATATATTATACTGGTGAATATACTATATGTTGTATTTATTCATTCATTTCGATAAGTGGTGAACGACATACATACACAAGAGGTTAATGAGGCTCATAAAAATCTCAAAGTGAATGCCTCCGCCCACCTTGAGACTTGAAACTTAATGTCTCAATGATAAATAGGCAAATAAAAATTTTAATGGTTTTATTTTTATTATGCAATGTAATTCCTGATCGTAGACAGCATTTGTGAACGTGTGTGTTTAAAAAATTGTGTCTGTCTGCGAGATTTGAATACCGAGACAGTGGCAGACAGTGGACTGACTCGATGCAGTTTCAAAAGGTCTCCGATCTCAGTGTAAGTCATTAGATTAATAAAGTGGGTAGTATTCCCTTTGTTTTGTTAGGCACGCTACCGTCACGCAGTCCGCATTTTCGTCGTCGCTGTCGTCGCCGAACATACTGTGGAAGAGCAACCCGGTCGGCGGTGTATCGCGTTCCTACCCGGCAGGCTGGTTCTGCCCCCCCCCCGGTGAAGGTCAAGGGGCGACCTGAGGGGGTGAGGCCGCGCGGCGCGCTACCAGCACTCTAGCGCGCTGCCATGGAGTAAATAGAGCGACCGGTCGACGGTGTATCGCGTCCCGACCCGGCAGGCTGGTTCTGGTCCAGCGGGGTATTCCGGGACACCAGCGGCACCGTCTGGGCGGCCCAACGGGCTGCCGTACCGAGACGGCCGACGTTTCAGAGCCTTCGATTCGCCTCGAAGGCTCCGTCGGCTGGGCGTCCTTGGGGTGAGCCGCGCCGTCTGGTTGTAGTNTAAAAAAAAAAAAAAAAAAAGGCTGGTTCTGGCCCAGCGGGGTATCCCGGAACACCAGCGGCATCACCCGGGCGTCCTGGTAGGGCCGCCGTACCGCGGAGACAGACGTCGTTGGTCGTCGACTATCGCCTCGACGACCTGTCGGTCGGGCGTCCTCGGGGTGGCGCCGCGTGTCTGGTTGTAGTGTTGACCGCAGGAACCCCCCTACTCTGACCGGGTTTTGACCCCGGACGGAGATCGGACGCCGGGTGTAAGAGTGCAGGGGAGTCGTTTAGTGGGTGGGCCCTAAATTCCTTGGGCCCGTCTGCTCTCAACACCTGCAGATCGTTGAGTCTCACATACCCCGCGCGCCCCCTAGGCGCGGGACATCGTAGGAGGTTCGGCCCTCGGCCCGAAAAAAAAAAAAAAAAATTGTACCCAAACTCATCTTTATATCTGGTGCTACCACCACCAGTACAACCAGTACTAAAGGAAATTCAAAATCAAATTGCATCATATAGAAATAAGAATTTTCTTTGAACACTACTTTTCCTTGACATAAGATATTCTACACGTGTGCATCATAATGAATTAGTGACACTCGGTAACTATTTATTTAGGTGTTTTTACTTAAAGCCATGTTTAACGAGGAAAGTGTTTTATTTTAAATTTAAAGGCGGAAAACGGAATTAATTTAATTAAAAGAATTTTGAATATAATAACGAGGAAAGTGTTTTATTTTAAATTTAAAGGCGGAAAACGGAATTAATTTAATTACAAAAATTTTGAATAAGATATTTGTGTAGTTGTATGTTTATTACCTATCTGTTATTTAGCATTCTTTAGCAATAAACAATTCTCTGTTAAAAGAAAAACGTCTGATAGTAACATTAATATGTACAATTACAAATTACACTAAAAATGAACCAATCACTATTGAACCTTTGATAAGGTATTATGAAACGGACAGAAACAAACAGATAGGTCAGTGTAAACCTTTTTCAGACCAGACGTGATTGCAATAAATGCATCTTATAATAAAATTCTATATCCTATAGTTTATGAATCTTTATGTAACCCAGATTCACATCTTTATTTTTGAAAGTGAAATTTCTGTGGATGATATAACAGAATTACTTACCTTATTTGGAATAAGTTGCACAAATTCACACGGATTCTTGTTGAATATGTAAATACCACCACTCGTAGCTCCAAATGCTAACAGCGATTTTGAAACATCAAAGCAGGTGTACTGAAAATTGAATTTAATTTGCTATAAGAAATTTATAACAGAATAAAGTGGTGACTTTTTGGGGAGAACATGAGGACTGGAGTTGTGTGATTTGTTTTATTTTGTCTATTTAGTGTTTCTTCAGGTTTAAATTAAATGCATAATAATTGTGGTTTTATTAATTGTTTAGTATATGTGAAAGTGCACAAATGTGGGAAAATAAAACAAATCCGTTGGACGTAACTTCTCGGGATCCTTCAAAAAGTCCACTGAAAAGTCTCAGTAAATGACCACCATTTTACTGGGATTATTATATATATTATATTTATGTTATGTCACGATTGGTTTCCTTCGTTTTTATTTTTCATATACCGTAAATAATTAAAACAGTGAATCATAAAAATCTTATTACTTGATGCTGGCTAATGCACAAACCGTGCCAGAGACAAAAAATAAGGAAGAAGAATATAGTGGTATGTTTCAATCTCATTTAACTGTAAAAAAATGTGGTCTAATACATCTCATCCATTTCTCTCTTACTTCCGTCTCGTGCTGAGGCCACATCTACAATTTCAAACAGAGCAGGAAAAATATGATTATAATACATAAATCTAAGATGTTGTATTGAACATTATATTATATATAGCCATACTTCTCTTACATTTGCCAACGGTATTTGTGCCTGAAGCCTTTCCTATATTTCTTTTGTTTACATTCATAATGAGTGATCATTCTTTATATTTAGTAAAGCATTTGTACAGTTGCCATGAGGTTTTAATTTTATAATTCAAACCTTGCATCTAAGCACACTCAATTTACTCTTTAATGAATGTTAACTTAGGACTTTAAATAGCAAGTTGTGAAATACAAATTGTGTTATAATATACAAAGTCATGACGTCCATGGAAATGAACAGTAATTGAGATAATAATTTCAATTCAAATTAATAATAAAAATTTGGATGAGAACCATGTATAGATTAGCCCCATTTATGATAGTTTACATAAATATATTAGACGAATAGGGATAATTATTGCGTAGATAAGAGTTAGCTCTCGGGGGGGCGTAACAGGAACAATAAAGAGAAGTAGTGGTTTACACATCAATAACATTGTGTAACTGGTTGATAAGTACAATTACAGCTACAATTAAACTCTCACTTAGAGCGAAAGACGGCTCAGTTACCTATATATTCGTCGTTTTAGGACTTGACCTAGTCATAAATCCCAAAATGACCAGAAATAAAAATTGGTAACTAAATAGATCGGAAACAAACAAAGATATATTGGAAAACAAATACTGGCTGTTTTTAAATGAGCAGGAAAATTTTACTGATCTCGTTCACGAGTTACAATTAAAAGCGTACATCTTTATTCGGGTTATTTAAATATTTTTTGAACATTCGCCAAATAAACACTCACCTTTATACGTTGTACATTTTTGATTGGGTAATTAATGCATTCTGTAACATTTGGAAGTTCCTGCAATATATAAGGAGGAGGCATAATATTCGACATTTTTATACTATCATTTTTCTTATTTACAAAATGTTTTTTTATTTATTTAGATTTAAGGCAAGAACTCATACGGTGCCTTCACTCAATGTGAAAATGACGATGTCAAAATTGACACTTAAAACTTCGAGCTTAATGACAGTGACACTGACAGCATAGACAAAAACAATTATGCATAGACCTATTTATTATACTTCAGTGCAATCAAGTGAATGCACTTGCACTTGCGTGTATTTGAGCGTTCAATAAAGTGACATTGTCCGCATTGTGATGTTCGTTTCGCAACTTCATAAATGACCTCTAATTATTATCAATTAACCAAATTAAGGCGGAAACGATCAGAACTAGACTTCGAAAATGTGAAGCTCGTGGTTATCTACAAATCGTGGTTATCATCCCAATCTACAAATCCAGTTAGGCGGTTAATCTTGTTAAAGATCACCATGGGGTTCCGAAATTATTTTGGATATAAGACCCCTTTTTTCTAAATGAACGAATACCTCAGACCTATATAGGCAAATTACTATAAAAATCTTATTTCCTATTGATACAGAATACTTGGGAGTATTGTTTTGATGCAAAAACGACAGGTTATTAATTAAATTCATCTTTCCAGAAAGGAATGCATCTGAACGAACAAGACGCATTTTTTTTTACTATTGATGGATTACTTTTGGCCCGGAGGCCTTTCCAGTTTCACCAGGACAGGTGGGCGAGCAAAAGCTCAGCCAGGAGGGGTGGGATTTGCTAACAGCTGCCCGAGTGCCTCCAAAGGAGACCTAACAACTCAAAAGAAGTTGCTTCGCGAATGAATTTACTACCGGTCGGAATCGCGATCCGCGGAGAAGATTCGGCGAGAAGCTCAGCGGGCTGATGCATGGGCTAGGTTGCACGTCGAACTCTTTGCCGAATTCGATACGGTTACCGGGGTCCCTACGCCTGCTCCTAGTGTTGAATTGTGAAGGCTTCTAATGCAAGATTTATTGGATCGAATGGATCCGTAAGAACGTGTCTAAGGTTTCGACGGTGACTGGCTCCTGCGTGATCACGATTCGGGGAGTACACAACGGCGGCAACGATAAGGGGCTTACATGACGCATTGTCTTATCGAAGTAACGTTCCGACGCTGACTTCATGTGTTTTCGGATCGATTCAAGGCCCAAGTCGTCGTGTAAGTCGATGTTCTTCTCGAACCACGGAACTCCAACAGCTTATCTCCAAAAGCGGGATTGTAGGGATTGTAGGGGTTGGAGGGTGGCTTAAGCGAGTGCGAGTCGCGTGAGCGAACACCACACACGCATAAGTCATGACGGGCCTTATGCAAGTTTTGTAGTCTTTGGCTTGTTCCGAAGGGACATTTTACTCCGCTTATAGATAATGGAGTACAGTCTGTTGAGAATAAATGTGGCATGGTCGCGGACTGATTTTATTAGCGGGCGAATCCATCCAGGGTGACTCCCAGGTACATGACCTTTCTGGCCCCGGGGAATAGGTTGGCTGAAAAGTGTGATGGGGGGTGTGAGTTTTCTTTTCCTAATGTGGAAGGAAATCCGTGTAGAATTACCCCTTTGAAAAAGTACCGCTGTGCTTTTAGCTGGTTTGATTTTTTTTTTATTGTTGCATAGGTGTATGGATGAGCTTACGGACCACTTGATGTTAAGGGGTTACCGGAGCCCATAGACATCTATAACGTAAATGCCACCACTCACCTTGAGCCATGTTCTAAGGTCTCACTTTTAACAGTACAGCGGCTGCCCCGGCCCTCAAACCGAAACGCATTACTGCTTAACCGGAGGAAAATAGGCAGCGTGGTGGTGTCTGCCCGTGCAGACTCGCAAGACGTCCCACCACCAATCTATGCGCCATTTTCGGAACCATTGTCCTAGGGTTACAGCTGCGCTCTGGAGCTTAGTCGCGATTAGGGACTTTTGTTGGAATCTTTGGCGTAGTAATTAGTGGCCCTGAATCGTGAGTTGGATTCCTGCATCGGACAAACATTCGTGTGATGAACAGGTTTGCTTGCTCTTTGAACTTATTTAAGTACTAGTTGTACCCGTCCGCTTCGCTGGGCATTTAAAATTAACATTATTATTTCTCACCCCCACAAAGATTCTCATCATTAACGACCTCGCAGTTGGTGCAGGGAGTCCAACACTCATATAAATATTAGCCTATCCATTAAGTACACATATTTTCTACATGGATACCAAGTTTCAAGTCAATCGGATGCATGTTTCAGTAGTTATAACGGAACATCCGTATAAACCACTGTAGATTTATATATTAGTATGGATTTATATCAGAATCAATCCCTGGTTCCTGTAGTACGGGGAATTTTCGTTTTTACCCAGATGACCGTATGTGACTTGTCCCCGGATAATATATTATTATAAAATAATAATAAAATATATTTTTCTGGACCGAATTGTGAATATAAATGTGTAATGTTCTTGTAATCTAATTGTGTAATCTAAGCCATTTTCGAATTCACTAGAACAGACAAAAAAAAAACATAAAAATGAGTCCATTTCTATATGAAGATTGCACTAAAATGTGTCCGGTCAGAAGAATTATATTAATATTATTTTGATTTAATAATCTGTAAACAACTAGAAATAATAACTAATTTACTTGGTTTCGTCAATAATTAATCCAAATATATTCCGGTAATACGATAAATTGTTTTCCGCATGATTAAGGTAAACTATTTTTGTACGTAATATGACATACGAAGTGCGACTACAAATAGTTACTAACAGTAATTAAAAGGGCTTTGTCGGTTGCGGTCGTAACGTGAAAATGCGTTTAATTCATTTCATATTACTCCTTTACTGTTTCGGAAATATACGAACGAAGAATGAGAGCGGCCGGAGTCTCACTTTTGTTATAGATCGCTCGTATTCGCTGCAACTTCTAATAAAACAGTTCAAGGAAGCGTCATTGAATCTCACCAGTAAATTGATGGGACGTAAATCAAGTGATATCGTTAACGTAACACTTATTGTGTTCGATGATCCAAGTAAGTGAGATAATGTGTTCTTTGTTATGTTAGTCTGGGATGTGGTTCTCAAATTTTAGCCGACCTAAAAAAAGGAGGTTAATTTTTTTTGTATCTGCATATTATTTTCTTAGTTCTTTGTGAAATGATGCAGAAATAAAAAAAAATGATGTTTTCTCTGTAAATTAACGCATTTTAAACTTGAAACCGATTTTCAATTATTTATTTTGAAAACCACTTTTTCTCCTACCTACGCCGAAAGTTCGGTTTTCCTCCCGCTGTACAGGGAAGAAAGTCTAACTTTTCTTCTCGCGGTACAGAGAAGAAAGTGTAACTTTTCCTCCCTGGGTACTGACAAGTGCGCATGCGCGTTAGTGTCTACGTCTGCTCTCACGCACCTAAAATTCTCCGCCATTGTTGTGCTCGGGTAATTTGCAATATTGTGTTTAGTGTAAAAGTGCAAGAAACAAGGCAATAAAATTTTATAGTGAAGTATTAAACAAAGATGAGCTCATCTGACAGTTCTTATTCAATTAGTAGTAGTTTATTTAAAAATAAAAAAAAAACCAGTTAAATTGTTTTTTTATGAGTATGGGGGGGTTCCGCTCCCCCCTACCTTCCCAGCAGGGCTTCGCCCCTGGTCCTCGGCTCGGTACTCCACGAACTTTTGGCCTGGTAGGAGAAAAAAATAGTAGGTGCACCGCGGGACAAAAGTTTTTTTTATTTTTTTTTATTGCTTTGATGTGTGAACGAGCTCACAGCCCACCTGGTGTTAAGTGGTTACTGGAGCCCATATACATATACAAGGTAAATGCGCCATACACCTTGAGATATAAGTTATAAGGTCTCAAGTATAGTTGCAACGGCTGCCCCACCCTTCAAACCGAAACGCATTACTGCTTCACGGCAGAAATAGACGAGGCGGTGGTACCTACCCGTGCGGACTCAGAAGAGGTCCCACCACCAGTAATTACGCAAATTATAATTTTGCGGGTTTGATTTGAAGTAGGTTAACTCATCCAGCGTGTTTGCCACCCTCGCCCGGTGCACATTGCAATATTCACGGTGTAAAAAACGTGTTAAAAGTTACACGCGGAAATTCTACTTGTATATTTTATTAATTTTAATAATTGAATTTCTGAATAATTGATATTTTAACAGTTCAATTGCCGAGTATTATTATTATAGAGTGCTTTAATTATTTTTGTTGTATTATCTAATATTGGTATCGCTTTTGTTTAAAGCATACAAGCTTGTAGTGGACACCACGGACATTAGCGAGTTCGAGAAGAACTTAAAATCACTGGAAACTTACTACGACATTAAAAACAAAGATTGCCCTGAGATGAGTCTGTCTGCTCTCAAAATGGCTTTGACTAGAAGCTTGCCGAGATCATATATACTTCTATTCACCGACGCTACAGCAAAAGACGTATGGCTTTTGGACGAAGTTAAAATACTATCTAAGGAAAAGCAGAGCAAGGTAAGATCTATGTTGTAATAATAATCGTGTAACGTTAATTATTGATTTATCGACGAGCTTTACTTTTTTACTGGTGGTAGGACCTCTTGTGAGTCCGCGCGGGTAGGTACCACCACCCTGCCCATTTCTGTCGTGAAGCAGTAATGCGTTTCGGTTTGAAGGGTGGGGCAGCCGTTGTAACTATACTTGAGACCTTAGAACTTATACCTCAAGGTGGGTGGCGCATTTACGTTGTGGATGTCTATGGGCTCCAGTAACCACTTAACACCAGGTGGGCTGTAAGCTCATCTAGGTACCCCTCTAAGCAATAAAAAAAAAGCTCACAACCTATTTTTTGTTAAGCGGTTACGGGAGCACATAGACATTACAACATGTATAGTTAGTGGGAAAAACTCTTTACAAAATTTCACCACGGCGGTGCGCTGGTTCAATATTTTTGAAGGAAGTTTTTGCGAGGGCGAGTATCGCTAAAGATGCACAAAAAGAGGGCCAGGCCGAGGCTAGGTTATGAGGAGTAGACGTACCCGCCAACCCGTGGCTAGCTTCTTCCAGGCTGCAGAATTCAACGTCACTGCTGAACGACGCGTAGTGGCGGTGGCTGGCCTGACGACTTGTCACAGCACTCTTCTAAATTATTTGTCCATAAAAACTGGGATACTACTCGCGCAACGACGAATATGATCATCAATAAGAGTTCGTATAATAGAAAATTAATCCTCCTCCTTCAGTCGATCGCTCATTGCTGAGCATCGTGATGCGCCCGCCTGTGACCTTTTTTTGTAATTTTTAGCCACTTATGTCGGTCAGTGGCACAGTGAAGTGCGTGGCTCGGTCTCATGTCCAGACACTCAGACACTTGGTCACTCCATCTTTTCCGGCTACGACCTCTGGATCGTCTTCCATCCATATTACCCGTCACTATGAGTCTCTCCAGGTTGTCAGAGGGTTTTCTTGCTATATGACCAAAGTATTGGAGCACTCTATATAGACATTTGGTGGATAAAATTAATAAGAGTCCAAAAAATATATAGGTGACAAAACAAGCGGCGTGTGTGCGTGTGCAGCGCGTGCGGTGCGGTCGGCGATTGTCTTCTTTATTTTTTACTTTTGCTGATATGTTTTCTTTTATAATTGGCCATGCGAGAGGTTTTATGTCTACTCTCATTAAAAAAGAACCAATAGTATCAGGTACCTTGAATCATTAGCTCCAAATTTCAATTCAGCTGTACAACGGCTGCTACATTTTTCGAGCCGGATCGTAAGACTATTTCACAGCAGACATAATATCGTCTTCTCGCATTGAAACCGTATAATCTCAAAACTTGCAAATTTTACAGGAGAGTGCTTTAAAGGTTTAACATGTAATATTTATAATATTAATCATCTTTGCAACATTTATTTTATATTTTTTACCAGTTACATTATCTGTCTTTTAAAGTAAGATAAAACAAAATTAATACATATTTTGTTAATAGTACACACTAGAAAACTAAAACTAAACTACGCTCTTTTGACAGTATTTATGAGAAAAATACTGGTGATACCAAATGATACCGCATATTAACTCAAGTTCGAATATTTTTTGTAATTGTACACTTTTAATGCGAAAAGACGATACGTGTGTGTGTGTGTGAGTGCTCTGAGGAATTGTTCGAGATGATACCATCATCTCGTTTTTACCATCGCGCCGCCCGCCACCGGAGTAGAATTCATTCATACTACCTGGAGCTAGGAGTGGGTAATATCGGTTTTGTCGCGTATCGAATCGTATCTATATATCGAGTATCAATATCGGATATTGAATCTATATATTTTCTGAATCTATATATTGATGGATGCTAGTAGATTTTCTCGATTCATGATATTTGAGATTTGAAACGATACGCTGATATAATATCGTAGTAGATATAGATTTAAGTCAACGTTATACGGTTAGTTTTCTGATATCAATTTATAATATGATCTTAAAGTAATCAAAAGAACATGAAAATAAAAATATCAAAAAAACTTTCCTTCATGCTTTTACCAGGCTTAGGACTGGCTACATTATTTTCAGTTTTTAGTATTTTGTGTCTTAATTTAAAATTACAAAATATACCAAAAGAGTGTAGATTTCAAAAGTTTAATACAAACACAAGAAATAAACTTAATTATTTGGATTCAACTAAAAATAGAAAAATGTGTAAAAATATGGACTTCAATATAAGGTTTACAATTGTATGGATAATGCCTGTTTCTGTTTCATTCATCACATGATATCCCTATCGTGCGCTCACTCACTCTGGCCGATTCGATACGAACCAAACGAATATTGCTGATATTCACGAATCGGTACGTTATGCCGATGCGCATCACATCGAGCAATATCGTGTATCGGCTGATATCGAAATATAGATTTCGATTCACTAATCGGTACGATATGCCGATGCGCATCACATCGAGCAATATCGTGTATCGGCTGATATCGATATATAGATTTCGTGCGGGGCGATATCGGATTCAACGATATTGCTGCGATATATAGATATTGAATCTATATACGATTTATATCACCCACTCCTACCTGGAGCCACTGCGGTCATCCACAGTGCATTTCCAGAGGTATTTTTTGCCACGTAACATCCATTCGGCTATGGAATGAGCTCCCCTCTACGGTGTTTCCCGTCCGCTATGACATGCCCTTCTTCAAATGAGGCTTGTGGAGAGTATTAAGCGGTAGGCAGCAGCTTGGCTCTGCCCCTGGCATTGCTGAAGTCCATGGGCGACGGTAACCACTCACCATCAGGTGGGCTGTATGCTCGTCTGCGTACAAGGGCAACAAAAAAAAAAACATAAGTAGATCATCAATATATTCGTTGATAAAAAATTAAGAGGTTTTTATTTTTAGTAGACCGAATAAGGTAAGATAGGATGCGGCGTGAATTGAAACGCGATAAGTGGGAGTGAGACGCTAGCGATAAAAGAGATGGCATAATAACGATTGAAGACGGTCGTAACTCGTAGTAGTATGAAGCCTATCAAGAGACTGATAGATCAGAGAGGAGAAAGTAGTTATTATTAGTTAAAAATAGATAAGCATCTATGCTCGATTGTGAAACACAAACAAAGGATATTTAATTGCCGTATAGGCAGACGAGCATACGGCCCACCTGATGGTGAGTGGTTACCGTCGCTCATGGACGTCAGCAATGCCAGGGGCAGAGCCAACCCGCTGCTTACCATTTAATGCTCTCCACAAGCCTCGTTTGAGGAAGGACATGTCATAGCGGACGGGAAACACCGTAGAGGGGAGCTCATTCCATAGCCGAATGGATGGTACGTGGCAAAAAAGATCTCTGGAAACGCACTGTGGATGAACGTAGTGGCTGCAGGTAGTATGGATGAACTCTACTCCGGTGGCGGGCGGTGCGATGGTAAAAACGAGATGTCGGTATCATCTCGAACAATTCCTCACTTTTACTGGTAATTGGGTATAACAATATATAATGCGTAATCTCAGATTGAAATTGTCACTTGAGAACGACAATCGACCGTTACAAGCAACGCCATTAGCCGAGTTGAATTTTAAAGCCGTTTAAAACAAAAACATATTATAGCATCTACCGGGTTTTTGTTTATTGAAACTACATCCATAAAAAAAACTATACAAACTTCATATTTTTTTTTTATTATTCTCAGGTATTTTTCATTTTGACCGGAACATGCGAAGACGCTACGAAGGCCGAACGTAAAATTTATTCCGACATCGCCACAGAAACGTCCGGTGCCGTTCTCCATATTCACAACAACAATACCCTGGAGGTAAATGATATTTCAGCAACCTCCTCCCGTCACTCTGACTCATGCATGTCAAGGAACCACGGCGACCATCACACGAGAATACTCTGAACGATAGGTGCATGTGGCCCTGTGGATTTTTTTTCCTACATATGCTGATAGCCTTGAGAGGCTATGTCAGCTTTACCCTAGCGTGTAGATGAGCTCTCGCGACTCAAACCGGAATGTTGCTAACACTGGCCCTAGCAAGAGCAGTGCTTCTCAGAATCTACCACCGGATCGGAAACGCGACCCACTGAGAAGATCCGGCTAGAAACTCAGTGGGCTGTGTCTATGGGTTCATTTACTTTCCGAGCCCTTCGTCGCAAACGACGGATTCGGTAAGGACGGTGACCGGTGCTTGAGGTACCTAAAAGCACCGTTAATGGATCGGGCGGATCCGTAATGACGTGCTTAGGGCGACGTCGACTGTTTTCCATTCGGTCCACAGGATCAGGTATGCTCATCTGCTCATAGTCCAGGGCTGATCGCAGATGTGCACAAAAACTTTTATTTTTTATTTTACTCTAAAAGTCATTAATATCACCTATTTTCGTTGACTATCTACTCATGCGCTCTGTTAATGGTAGTTTTTGTTTACCTGTCTTTATTACACTATATGGATGCATTTAACTATTATTTTTCCAAATAAATTAATAAGTAAGAAAATATTTTTATAAGCCTCGTTATAAATATATTTATGGAGACTTAATTGTGTTAATTTTTTTTTTGTTTTCTAGATTATCAATAGTTTTGATTTCTTAAAAAATGAAATTAATTCTATAATAACGGAGACAACGCATGATCCTGATAAAACTTACGAGGTTAGTATTTATTGTAAAACTTACTCACTCAATTCTGAGCAATAAGCTCTAAGCAATAAGCTCAGCAATAAGTTTTTGTGGTGGAAATGAAAGACGATGCTCCGTCAATTGACGTCTAGAATTTGTATGGCGGTTTGTATGAAAAAGCGAACAGATTACGGATCGCTTGTATGAGGAAATAATAAATTGATTAATTAATGATACATCAGCGGGCTTTAAAAAATAATATTTTAATACCAAATTTTAACAAAAAAAAAAACTGACTTGAAGTTGAGAGAGAATATAATTAATATGGCTGAATCATAAAATCTTTTGACGCTTAATAAATACAGTCGAACTAATATACTCCTCCTTTTTTGAAATTGATTAGAAAAAAAGGTTTTGTAATCTGTCGAAGGATAAAAATAATTTTCCATATTTATTTTAAAAAAAAAACCCTTATCTAATACATATTAAAATCGATAAAATAATGAACACATTTCTATTTATTAGGTAATGTTTTTTTTTTTTTTTTTTTATGTCACGCCACGTTAACTGGTCCCGTGATAAATTCGTAAAGAACTTGTTACAGGTACCAGATAACGGAAATAAATATAAGATTTTTATTTTACACATACACATATTTAATATACATCCATAACCCTGGAAAAGACATTTATATTTATCATACAAATATCTTCCCTTGGCGGGATTCGAACCCGCGACCCCCTTGTGTAGTGACCATGTCACTTACCACTACACCAGACGGCCGTTTAACCGAACAACTGTTCCCTTACAAAATGTCTCTGAGATTAATCTTAGGTTCCCCGCGCACTAGGCATTCTGGCTACGCAGCCGAAATATTTGAGCAGCCAGTTATAGCAGCCTGCCCACACAGCCAGGTTGCAGCGGCCGGAATATTTGAGCAAAACATTGATGTAAATGTACCTACAAAAAACTAATACTATGTTGTCCAAATAATACTTAATAAAAGTACATGCTAACCAATTATTATTTTTTTCTGTTAAATTGTCTTCGCACATTGTAATTGTGATTTATTTCCATCTTCTTCTCTTTAAATCACGATCGCTGCATTCTTCTGACGATACATCCCAAATTGCTTTACGGCATTTTATTTCCCGAATGAATTTCTCTGTATCGAAGGTCATTTTGCAAAAAGTTTCGGAACAAAAAAGCTACAAGTGCCGGGTGACTGACGGCAGCCACATACATTCGTCAACACTCTCTCTGGATGTCGTGCAACAGGCGCGTTGTATTGGCTACCGGAGCCAAGAGTTCCGGGCTGCCTAAGAGCGCGGTCTTCCATACAACGCCATATGTTCGCCTGGCTGCCGCAGCCTGGCTGCCTAGTGCGCGGAGAGTCTTAAAATACCGCGCTTACGCCGCTAACTCAACACTTCCTAGACTAAATCTATATTTGTTCACGCTCATCACGCAATATCCTTAAAGTTTGTATTTTTGGTTACATCTGGGCATCAAAATCTAAATTTAAATTCTCATCGTGTCTGAACTGACTCTGAAGTCATCGTGGCCTAAAGAATAAGGTGTCCGGTACATTCGTATGTAGCGATGCACCGGTGTTCGAATCCCGCAGGCGGGTACCAATTTTTCTAATGAAATACGTACTCAACAAATGCTCACGATTAACTTCCACGGTGAAGGAATAACATCGTGTAATAAAAACCAAACCCGCAAAATTATAATTTGCGTAATCACTGGTGGTAGGACCTCTTGGGAGTCCGCACGGGTAGGTACCACCACCCCGCCTATTTCCGCCGTGAAGCAGTAATATGTTTCGGTTTGAAGGGTGGGGCAGCCGTTGTAACTATACTGAGACCTTAGAACTTATATCTCAAGGTGGGTGGCGCATTTATGTTGTAGATGTCTATGGGCTCCAGTAACCACTTAACACCAGGTGGGCAGGGAGCTCGTCCAGGTAATACGAGTGGAACTTTGTTATCAAAAGTTTTACTTTGACAATGGAGTGCTTAATGTTCATTACAGGTGCAAGCTGATGAAGGCGTGGGGGACATTACAGTGTTGGCATCAGGGGAAGCATTGGAATTCAAAGTCAACTGTGCAAATCCTTTGTGCAAAGTCAATTATGACCGTTTTTCAAATACGACCAATGTAAGTATCTATCTACTGTTGGTAGGACGTCTTGTGAGCCCGCACGGGTAGGCACCACCACCCTGCCTATTACCACCGTGAAGCAGTAATGCGTTTCGGTTTGAAAGGTGGGGCAGCCGTTGTAACTATACTGAGACCTTAAAACTTATATCTCAAGGTGCCGGCATTTACGTTATAGACGTCTATAGGCTCCGGTGACCATTTAACATCAGGTGAACCGTAAGCTCGTCCACTCACCTAAGCAATAAAAAAATAAAAAAGTATCTATTCATTCACATTGTTTCAACTTTACTTGCGCTACGGAAATATTTGGAATATTTAACTATTTTTAGCATAATTGCAAAAGAAGTATTTACACTTTTTTTTTATCAATTCAGATTGCTAAGGTGAACAACCCCAAAGGAAAAGTAAATGTTTCCCTTAAGGGAAAAGGCGATGTCTTCATAAGTGCTTACTACTACGCTACTTTCAACTTCACATATGGATTTTCAACGGATACACCAGCCAGAATTGAAGATACGCGGACAAAACGAGAAATATGTAAGCCATATGTACATACTGGTCTATTTATTTTTACTTATTTACTTTGTGTAACGGGCTCACGTTCCAATTGGTGAATAGTGGTAGCCATTCTCCCCGGGATATGAGATCGGAATCTCAACTGCGTTGAGCGACTGTTCAAAATAGACAGGATATTGTGGCCTATCCGAGCGGGCTTTGAGCTATCAAGGGAAACACCGCTCTCCAGGTCGCGAAGAAAATTTATCTGGTGCCTGCCGCAGTAAGCTTTTCAGGACCCTCAATTTTGTTTTGATAGGCGAAAGGAGTTTCTGATGTGGAGCAATCGGCTGATGAATGGGGTACAGAGCGCTCCTCGCTTTTCTCAATTCCTAGTTTGCGTAGGGCTCTATCTAAATTGATTTCGTACAGCCTATTAAAGGCTGTCCCCAAATGTGATGCTGCAGCTCGACAATTTGTATTGGCAAGCCCTACCCCTTGCCTCACCCCCCACTTTCTGTCTCACCGAGGACCAAACTAAGTTGGTGGAAAAGTGACGATAAGACTTTGTAGTGAATTCGTATAACATTCATTTAACGTCTCAACTTGCGGTTTTACATTCGGAGATTCAACTTCCCACCAGAAAAAGGTAAAACCGTCCTGCCTATTTCTGGTAATGTTCCGAGTTTGGGATAACAGCCAATGCAGTTGAGATAAGCCGGTTATTCCTTTTTTTTTGTTCAGGAGGAAGTCGCTGGACTTCCGCCCTTCTCTGGGAATGGCGGGCGGGGTATGTCAGAGTGGAACTGACTAAAACCTCCTGTCGCTTAACAACCAACGTCCAAACCTCGCATGAGACAGAACTCATGAAAAGGCAAAGGGGGGAAAGTTAAGCGTTTAGTGCGGAACACGTCTCTCCCATCACCCTCCCTCTCGGGACGCTGAACTGGCGGTCGTCGGCGCCACAACCACCAGCCCTCTCGGTCAGCAGACTGTCCGAAGCCCGCCTAGATGGCCCTGGTTAGAGTGGGTTACCCTACGGAATATCCCGCTGGGCCAAAAGCAGCGTGGGTCGAGGATAGCCGGCCTTCCATCACCCGAATGCTCTTGCGTAAAACGCGTGCAGAGCAGCTTGCACGTCGTCTTCTTAGGCCCCCCTCGCCGGTCCCCAGACCGACATGTGAGGGAGACCCGAAACACTTAGAGGGCCAGGGCTTGCGACACCGCCAAAGCCACCCCACCCCTGGAAACGGCCTCCTCCGAGAGGGCCCGCACGCGAAGGATCGCGTCTATCGTTGAGCGGCCCTCTCGGAAGCCATACTGCTCCGGCGACAGATCGGGTCTCACCCTGACCATATGCTGGATGATGCGGGTTGCCAGAATGCGTTCCAGCAGCTTACCCACCTCATCCAGCAACACGATAGGACGGTATCCGGCGGTAGTATCCGCCGGACGCCCCTCCTTTCTCAACAGAACGAGTCTGCCCGTCCTCCACCATGAAGGAAACCGTCCCGACTCGAGGCAGGAGTTTTAAAGTCTCAAGAGTCCCCTAGGGCACCAAGGGCCAAGGCCCAAACCTGGCCATGGACACCGTCTGGGTCGGGTGCAGTGTCCTTCGCGCACGGCCACACGGAGCTCCGCCCCCGTTATATGGGGCACCTCAGCAGGGGCTTCGCCGTCGTAGTCTGGCGGCGCGTCTATAGCGGGAGCGACAAATCCCTCCCGCTCTTGCGGGAACAGCGCCGAGACGATGTCCCGCAGCTGCTCAGGCTGGAGACGCTCCGTGACCGGGGGGGCCCATGGGCGCATTTTATTGCGCACCATATGATAGGGCCGCCCCCACGGATCCTCATCCAGCGTCTCCAAGAGACCCTCCATGTGTTGGTTCTTGGCTCTTCTGATGGCCAGCTGCAATGCCCTCTGCGCGACGCGAAATGCGCCGTGCAGCCGGGCCTCTGCCGCTGCGAACGCAACCGGATCGTTGCGCCGCGGCAGGCGGCAGCGGCGATACCTGGCGCACTCACGCCTCGCCTGAACGCACCCCACGCGGAGTTGCGCAATTTCGGGCGACCACCAGAACGCCTGGCGATTAGGAAATCGAGGGCCAATCCGGGGCATCGACGCATCACAGATGCGACGCATCGTGTCCCGGAACCACCCTGCCTCGCCCTCGACCTCAACCGGGTGTGGAAGCATGGGTGCCCACGCCGCCACCATAGAGGGTTCCATCAGGAGCTCCTTATTTAGGCGCTTCAGTGCCCACTTAGGGAATGACCGGGACGCACCACGGGGGTGGTCCCCGTGGACGTCCGCGACTGCGGAGCGGGCGGAGAGATCAAACCGAATATATTGGTAATCTGACAGCGTCTCCGCCCCCTCCCGCCCGATCCCGCCCAGGAAATGCCCGAACTTCTCTTAGTTCTCGTACTTCCCGTACTTCTCTCCGAACAGTAGGCCTGTTCGGCGAGAAGTACGCCCCGATCACGACAATCCCTTCCAACTGCACCGCGACGAACCCTTGGCTCCTGGTCACCACCGCCAGAGGGGGGATCGCCGCGTCTCTTCTTATGACTATGGCCGCCAGGCCACCATCGTCCCCGAACCAGTAATCATTTGCCGGGGGAACGAAATATGGCTCTGCGACCACAGCCACATCTATAGACCACTCCGCCATACTCTGAGACAGCATGTCCTGAGCTCTGGCAGAGTGGTTCAGGTTTCCTTGGAGGAAGCGATAGGTGCGGTCCATCACTGTTAGACCACATCCATCGCTCCCTCTTCTTCACCGCTGCCCCCACCCTCCGACACCGGCGCCGCAGCGGGGATTATAGCGTTGGCCAGTGCTCCTCTGGCCAACTTTCTCTTCTGCCGGCGCTTTGACTTCCGGCGCCGGTTGCGTTCGGTGTTATCACCGGACGGAAGGCACGCCTTTCCTCCCGCCCGGTGGTTTACCCCGCGCCCGGCCGCAGCACACAGAGCGCAGTGCGGGGCGGCCGCGCAGGACGCCGCTTTATGGCCCGGCTGGCCGCAGCGGAAACACAGACCGCTGCGGACAACCGAGCTGGTGCACCTGGCGAGGCCAGGCACGTGATTCAAGCAGGCGCACGTGGGCCGCTATCCAGCCCACGCGCAGCCTGCCTGGATTCCCCGACGGTCTCCCGGGCGGAGGAGCAGCCAGGGAGGCAGCCGCCTCCAACCGGCAACGCACCCACACCGAGCTGGCCCCGGTATAACCACGGCGCAGCTCGCCCACGGTTACATTCTCCGGTGCACGGCCGCCCTCACCTCATCCCTGGTGGTGCAGTCGTCCAGGCCGGTCACTCTTAATTCCGCCATTTTTACCAAGTCGGTTATTCCTAGCTAGTTTAATCTTTATTATTATTACAAAGTGTGTACGCGAGACACTGTGGCTTTATTGCTTCTATAATAAAACCAATTGAATGCTTGCTACTTGCTTTAATTATAATTTACAATGGCTTAGTCGTGATTGTTCGTCGTTGAATGTATGAATGTGACCTTTCTCGAAAAGGAAGGATCTTGAGCCAATAATGCTGTCAGCGCGCGGTGCCTGCCGGTAGTAGTAAATGTTCTGGTATCGACGTTTTGGCTAGCTTGCTGTGTTAAACGAGTCAGGCGCCGCGACACAAAGTTTTTTTTTTTGTTTCAGTTAAATTGAATTATTTAGCTATAAACGTGACTGGCAACGAACACAATTGCAGAATCAATGAAGCCCTAGTTACGGATTTAAATGATACACAGTTGATATATTTAACTCTCAAACTTAAGATGGTATCAGATTACTTCTACGTAACTGAGAAGGCCGGGTTTCCTCGAAATTCGTTCAAACTTGTGGTGAGCTTTCTATTCATTACTATAAATACGAAACATGATTGTTATGTTTGTTTGTTATGATTGATTTGTTTTTTACTGGTGGTAGGACCTCTTTTGAGTCCGCCGAGTCTTGAGGGTACCACCACCCTGCCTATTTCTGCCGTGAAGCAGTAATGCGTTTCGGTTTGAAGGGTGGGGCAGCCGTTGTAACTATACTTGAGACCTTAGAACTTGTATCTCAAGGTGGGTGGCGCATTTACGTTGTGGATGTCTATGGGCTCCAGTAACCACTTAACACCAGGTGGGCTGTGAGCTCGTCCAACCATATAAGCAATAAATAAAAATAAAAAAGGGCACCAACCAAAAATTACTGCGTAGAATTAATTGGAATTTTTCTGGAATTGGAATTCTCAATTTTACCACAGACTCTATAAGCAATAAGAAAAGTTTGACAATAAACAAATAGTATGCATGTGTGTGCCAAATACATGGTAGTATGTGTAATGTTTTTATTTATTGATTTAATGAATTTTTTGTACATAATTAAAAAAAAAAATGCATTCTGCACTCCTTCTCTATGTTCTTTAGAAGTTTGAGAAATTTCATACCAATCCATCCGCGCAATTTTCGTAAAAAGAGGTACAAAGTTTTTACTGCACGCATTTTTAAATAGATATTACCCAAAATCGAGAATTAATAATTTATTTTTATTAATAACATGAGGAAATATGTACACTTAAATAACACATAATATATGTTTTTAATAACACATTATTTTAGATTACTGGAGTTGACATCAAAACAGGACAATCGGTACGAAGTGTGGCTATTATAGAAGGTGAGCAATAGATTAAAATATCCAAAATATGCAACTTGTATGCGTTTTTGGAGAACAAAAATGCTAAATCTTTATATACATATATAGTCATATAATTTTACTGTACGTGTGTATATCACTGAACTCTTCCAAAACGGTTGGATAGGCTTGAATTAATTTTCGCAGGACAACATTTGTCGGGTCCGCTAGTACATCTGCTAGTATAATCTACTTAACTAATATTATAAAGAAGAAAAATTTGTTTGTTTGTATGTATTGAATAGGCTCCGAACCTACTGAACCGATTTGAAAAATTCTTTCACTGTATGGAAGCTACACTATTCGCAAGTGACATAGGCTATAATCTTTTTTTTTTTTTTTAAGAAGGGATCCTTACTGCAACTCCAATAATGTAATCCAAGGTTTAAAAAAAAAACCAAAAATATTCTTTACATCGCGTGCCTTGCGAAAACTATTGATGGTAGAATAAAATAATGTACTACGACTTTGTAGAACACATTATTATTAACAAAAGGTGTTATAACAACATATGTCTAATTATTATAGTTATGCCGCAATAAGTGTTCTTTTATTTGAAAAAATAAAACAACGTCAAATATCGTTGTAATTTTTGTTAAAGACCCAAGCGGAGCCGGAGCGGGCCGCTAGTATATTATAAAGAGAGACTGACTACATTATAGCACTCTTGGTCACTTATTGTGGACTTATTATACATATATACCAAACCGGGCGAGAAAATAACGTTCTTGATAATAAAAATTTGCAGATGATCACAACACACAGCACAGTTTCTTTTTGGAACGAAGTTCCTTATCGCGCGTTGTGAAAGGGGGCTAGACGGAAAAAATTCTTACGAAAAGTTGTCACGACACTTTTTAGATCCGTCATTCTGACCAATCAACGTGTAGGCGCTTATCGCGTGACATTGCTCGTATCCGATTGGTCCACGTAATGAGTACAGTTTCTCGAGATAGCGTTTCAACAATAGTAATTTAGTTCATAGTATTGTTTTTTTCTTCTTCATAATGCCGTAATTTATTATTATAACTTAAAAAAAAAATTACAATTCCTTCACTAATTAATCGAAAGGAACTTCGTTCCATCCGGGTGTCCCTTGACACCTCTGAATTATTTTTTTTGTTTTAGAGTAGGTACGTATTTCAGTAGAAAAATTGGTACCCGCCTGGGATTCGAACTCTGGTGCATCGCTAGATACGATTGCATCGGACGTCTTGTCCTTTAGGCCACGACGACTTCTTATATCTTTAATATGTAACTACATATATTTTTAATATGTAAGCCATTATCGCCAAATTATTGAGCCATGACAATGATGGAAAAAAATTGGATTTTTTGTTTCTTACTTTCTTTTTTATTGTATCTGTTAATATGAGGACTAGATTTGTATAAATAAATTCAATAATAGATCCTATTCAATAATAAATTATAGTTTCCGAAGCGAAGTGAGGGCGGGTCACTACTAGTAATACATAAAATGAATGGAAATTTTTAGGTGTCCGCTGATCACCGCTGTATTTCGTTCGATCGGTCTAACCTTAGAAGCTCTAATCATTATTTGTAGTACACAATTATGTCCTTGAAATAAAAAAAACTTCAAAGGTGTCAAGGGACACCCGGATGGAACGAAGTTCCTTTCGATTAATTAGTGAAGGAATTGTAATTTTTTTTAAGTTATAATAATAAATTACGGCATTATGAAGAAGAAAAAACAATACTATGAACTAAATTACTATTGTTGAAACGCTATCTCGAGAAACTGTACTCATTACGCGGACCAATCGGATACGAGCAATGTCGCGCGATAAGCGCCTACACGTTGATTGGTCAGAATGACGGATCTAAAAAGTGTCGTGACAACTTTTCGTAAGAATTTTTTCCGTCTCCCTATCACAACGCGCGATAAGGAACTTCGTTCCAAAAGCTCACTTTAAAAACTAAAAGCTTTCACTCATTTCAGGGGCTCCGCATAAAAGTCGAGCCGTTGTTAATGAGAACGAATCTGTGTTTATTCCTCGCTCGTAAGTAGATTCTTTTTACTACTATCAAAATCAAGCTATCACATTGAAATAATGCGTTTCGGTTTGAAGGGTGAGGCAGCCGTTGTAACTATACTTGAGACCTTAGAACTTGTATCTTAAGGTGGGTGGCGTATTTACGTTGTGAATGTCTATGGGCTCCAGTAACCACTTAACACCAGGTGGGCTGTGAGCTCGTCCACTCATCTAAGCAATAAAAAAATAAAAAAATTAATTCGTTCGACTGACTTATGATTGAAGTCTAAACTAGAATTGGGGCCGTCAGCGCAAAAACGGCCTAACCCACAATTTTTCATAATCATGCTTATATTATGTATATTTCAGATAAATGTGAAAATGCTCGGAATTAAATAAAAATAACAATTTTATTTTTCCTTTGACGTGTCCCCCGTCGGATGGATTCCTTTTGTTTGTTTTAAGTTTATTTTATACAAAAGCTTAGGTCTTTTATTTATCGATCGAGGCACTACGAAGTCTGCCGGGTCAGCTATAGTAGAATTATTTTGTCCGTGCAGTTTGGGTCATAAAAAATCGGAGCGGTGCAGCGAGTATTTCGCTCTCTCTTCCACTCACGAGCCTTATGGACGGGCATAGTGATGCGCATTATTGTTGTCGATAAGCGTTATCGATAATGTATTTAGTTTTGTCCTTTTGTTGGTTAGTGATAAAAATGAAAGAAAAAATCACTAATCGAACACTTACACCACATATCGCCGCAGAAAGTTAACGAGAACGGCAGAAATTAACATTTTGTAACTTTTTGGGATCTATTCTCATTTCAGTGAAAAAATTTAACACATTGTTGATAATAACACGTGCTTTTGCTGGTATATTTTTGCCAAAAAGCAAAATATTTGAATAAATTCTGCCGTTTTGGTACAAAACAAAGGAGTAGCCATTGTGTCACTAAAGAAATTCAGAGAGCGAATGCACAACATCTCATTTCTCTTCAACATATGTACCTACTATAATTTGCAGGTAGGTACAACAAATTTAATGACTCATAACATAACAATGTCTCACCACCCTTCGTATACCACCCCGACGCCGCGACGCCGTGTATGACTCATTTGGTTTTATGGATAATGGCGTTGCGCCCGCGCAACATGCTCACCGCCCTAGCCGGGCTATGTTTTATTACCCAAACTGCACGGACAAAATAATTCTACTATAGTCGACTATATTTTTTTATGTGAACGTGTGTATTCTAATGCTCATTAATAACGACAGACTTGCAACGCGAAATGCAAACTATGGAATCGAATGGAATTACATGAGCAAATTGCCAGAGAGGAAACGTTATTACAAAATACCGTTCGCGCACAAAGAGACGGAAACAGGATTGATCCTACCGAATGTTTCGCTCGGGCACAATGGAGAATACGAATGCATTGAGCGTTCGCACTCGAAGGGGAATTCCGAGAATTTCTACGTCACCAAACAAAAAACGAGTAAGTATCGATTTCCCTACGATCGAATCATTACTTTTTTTATTGCTTAGAAGGGAAGGACGAGCTCACAGCCCACCTTTTTTTTTATTGCCTAGATGTGTGGACGAGCTCACAGCCCACCTGGTGTTAAATGGTTACTGGAACCCATAGACATCTACAACGTAAATGCACCACCCACCTTGAGGTATAAGGTCTTGGTGAAATCTGATTATAGAAGTAATAGGCTGTTCGGAAAGTAATTTCGTTTTTTCCCAACAGAGGATTTAATTGTATTTTGTTGCACCCAACTTCACTTTTAAGCCATATAAGTTTTATATGCTTTAAAACCTCATACAGCAAGGCTTGTGTGTGAAAAATAACAATTAATTCTACGCAGTAATTTTTGGTTGGTGCCTTTTTTTTATTGCTTAGATGGTTGGACGAGCTCACATCCCACCTGGTGTTAAGTGGTTACTAGACCCCATAGACATCAACAACGTTAATGCGCCACCCACCTTGAGATATAAGTTCTAAGGTCTCATTAAAGTTACAACGGTTGCCCCACCCTTCAAACCGAAACGCATTACTGCTTCACGGCAGAAATAGTCAGGATGGTGGTACCTACTCGTGCGGACTCACAAGAGGTTCTACCACCTTAGAACCTATATCTCAATGTGGGTGTCGCACTTACTTTGTAGATGTCTATGGGCTCCATTAACCACTTAACACCAGGTGGGCTGTGAGCTCGTCTGCCTGCAAGAAAAAAAAAAAAATGCATATTACATGTGACAAAGTGAGCGGTGGCATTCTCATTATGATCTATCTATGCCGGTAAATACGTACCGTCTGAGCAATGACAAAAAAAAATACCAACAGTAATTATTTAGAACGAATCACCACGTGCTTCTGGGCTTGAGCTTGAATGTAGTAAGCATGGTTACGGGACTGCAGAAGAAGTTGACCGATGATTTTGTCCTCAGTCCTTGAAGTCACTAAGGCTCCTACAGCGATAGGAGAACGATATAGTAATTTGAAGGTCCAGTACGGTAATAGAATTGAAATGATGTGTGCTATTAAAGGACATCCTCAACCAAGAATGAGATGGTACAACTCCAATAATGTCTTATTATCGCCCACCAGTCAGGTCAGTAAACTTTTTGTACTACCGTTGAGATATGATCGCAGCTAAATTGTTCAGTAATTTTAAATTTTCATACATATCACAATCTAAAAGCCGGAGAGGCACTTTCATACCATGCCTCGCTAATTCAAAACGCTTAACCACAAATAATGTCCTCATCATCACCATCATCATCATCATCGGCCTATAGCAGTCCACTGCTGGACATAGGCCTCTCTAATTGCTCACCAATGGGAACGATCCTCGGCTTCTCTCATCCAGCTCCTGTCAGCCACCCTGCACAGATCATCACTCCACCGACCCTTATTTACTTTGATGTGTCGTGTGTGAAGTACAAATTAAAACACTTAAGGCACAATTCGCAATTCAATTCGCCAGCTTCGCGTCTGGTGATCCGCTCGCGGTTTCGCTTCGAGTAGAATCGATTAACTAACTGACTTCATGTCAACTCTGCAACGCTTATAAAGTAATTGTTGAATAAATAAATGACTTCAACGGTAAATCGATAACTTGAGAGATAATGTGAAATGAAGAGAGACGGCCTAAACACGTCATTACGGATCCTCCAGATCCATTAACGGTGCTTTTATAAAAGTTCAAGATTCCACAGGAGCTGTCATCGAGAAAATTAAGAAATGGAAATAGTATAGGTACCACAAGCACCGGTCACCGTCATTTTCGAACCCGTCGCTTGCAACGAAGGGCTCGACGAGCGAATTAACCCACAGACACAGCCCACTGAGTTTCTCGCCGGATCTTCTCGGTGGGTCACTTTTCCGATCCGGTGGTAGATTCTGCGAAGTACTGCTCTTGCTAGGGCCAGTGTTAGCAAAACCTCCTGTTTGAGCCCCGAGAGCTCACCTACACGCTAGGGTAATGCTGATATAGCCTCTCAAGGCTATCAGAATAAGTAGGGAAAAAAAAAACAAGGAGAGACTTTAGTGCTTTGTTTTGTTGTACCGCCCCCATGAGCGATTGTTAGAAATGAACAACTTGTCATATTTTCACGCCACATTGCGACTCTCGCCAAACAGTATTCATCCTTACAATTTAAAAACGATGTACTTACTCATCCAACCCAGAATTTTCAGAAAAGCATTTATGGCAAATCGGTTCATTTCAAGTTGTTTTATAGCTTTAATAGGTGGTTCAGCTCACGGCCCACCTGGTAGTAAGAATATTAAGCGGTTCCCGGAACCCATAAGCATCTACAACATATGCAGTCACCCACATTTTATAAAATATTCGCATTGCTATAAATGGTTTTCTTTAAACGAGATTCGAAAGTGACTTTTGGAAAGTGGGCAGTGACTAGTGTGACCCTTGTCCATGTGTAATACCTTCGAAGACAGGAAAAAAGGTATTTTTCTTATTAAAGGGCCGTTTAGGTTCTAAGGACCTAATTGCAACTGCGAGATACAGCAACCTCGTGACAAATCTTTAGACCAAGGCAAACGCACGAGGCTGCTAATGATACGCACCTAATTCTGTGTGTTTGTTTCTGTGTTTTTTTATTTGATAACTGAAATACTTACTGAACTGAAGTTCTTTCATGTTTCCAGAAATACCCAGATTTTGTGTACAGAAGTATATTGACTGTGGAATCTGTGAAAAAATCCGAGAAATACTTATGCAGAGCGAGTAATAAGGTTGGACAGATAAGCGTAGAGGTGAACGTGACTGTGTTAGGAGGTAAAGCAAAATCTTTCTTCTTATTGCCTTTCTTAGGCGGACGAGCATGTGGCGGACACTTGACGGTGAGTGGTTACCATCGCCCATGGATTTTAGTAATACCGGGGCCAGAGCCAAGCCGCTGCCTACCAGACTTTAACCTACCCCTAATACTCGTTTTTAGTGGTGGTAGGACCTCTTGTGAGTCCGCACGGGTAGGTACCACCACCCCGCCTATTTTTTGCCGTGAAGCAGCAATGCGTTTCGGTTTGAAGGGTGGGGTAGCCGTTGTAAGAATACTGAGACCTTAGAACTTATATCTTAAGGTGGGTGGTGCATTTACGTTGTAGATGTCTATGGGCTCCAGTAACGACTTAACACCAGGTGGGCTGTGAGCTCGTCCACCCATCTAAGCAATAAAAAAACACTCTTACTACTTCTAATACACCTCTTCGAATAACCCTTCACTAATTGATTTAGACAAGAGAGTTCATGGACGATCTTGGACTATCGCTGTCACCCAGAAACACTTAATCGTGTACCTATCATGGTACTTTTGGTGAGTTAGATCGCCCTATGTGTTGGCAAAGACCTAACACCTTGGCAAATAATTGATAATTATTTTTTCACGGTAGATAGGTATTTAATTCAAATTACTATATTTATGCCAGCGCCAAACATCAAAAGGACCGTACGCCGCCTAACTTAGATAATTTTATTGCCAATTTTGTTTTGGAGAGCATATCCTATAGTTATTGTATCACATGAATATTAAAAAAATTTATTACATTATCAGTAATTACTTACTATAGGGCACTAGATCATTTTGAAAATTAACAATTGACATATGTAGCTCTTGAATTTGCAGACAGACCAAAGTTCAGACAATCTGTGATCATAACTGCTGTGATGGAAGGCACAGATGCTGTAATCCGATGCAAGTAAGTAGATGATTCCAAGCCCTCGCTTAATACGTAATGCTTTCGTTAGTACCCTGTTAAATTTAATTTAAACTCATTATTATGCAAAATTCATTATACTTAGTCTGGCCATATATACAGCTACAATTAAAAATAAACAAAATATTACATTTGAATTTGGAATTGTCATTTTTATATGATTGCTCATTGAGTTTTCTCATTTTGGCGCCAATACATTGTACAATATTTTGCGATATTAAAATGGAGCGGGGTGATAAAGAGAACCGAATCGCTGTGATTGCATTACACAAAGTAGGTATGGAGCCAAATGCAATTTTTAAAACTCTCCATACGCTTGGTATTAGTAAAATGTTTGTGTACCGGGCTATTAATAAATGCAATGAGACCTCCTCTGTTTGTGACAGAAAAAGATCTGGCCGTCCACGTAGTGTTCGTACGAAAAAGTTGGTCAAAGCAGTAAGGGAAAGAATTTGAAGAAACCCTGTCCGAAAGCAAAAGATTTTATCTCGGAAGATGAAGATAGCACCTAGAACCATGTCGCGTATTTTAAAAGATGACTTAAGACTTGCAGCCTATAAGAGGCGTACTGGTCATTTCTTAACTGATAATTTAAAAGAGAATAGGGTGGTAAAATCGAAACAACTACTGAAGCGGTACGCAAAAGGAGGTTATAGAAAAAATTTGTATACGGATGAGAAAATGTTTACAATTGAGCAACATTTTAACAATCAAAATGACCGTATTTATGCTCAAAGCTCTAAGGAAGCTTCCCAATTAGAGTCCCAGAGTGCAACGTGGGCACTATCCGACTTCAGTGAGGGTTTGGTGGGGTATTAGCTATGAAGGAGTGACTGAGCGATACTTTTGTGAAAAAGGTATCAAAACATCGGCACAAGTGTATCAAGATACCCTTCTTGACAAGGTAGTGAAGTCCCTTAACAACACCATGTTCAATAATTAAGAATGGTCCTTCCAGTAAGACTCGGCACCAGGTCATAAAGCTCGGTCTACGCAGTCTTGGTTGAAAACGAACGTTTCGGACTTCATCAGAGCTGAAGACTGGCCGTCGTCTAGTCCCGATCTGAATCCGCTGGATTATGATTTATGGTCAGTTTTAGAGAGTACGGCTTGCCCTAAACGCCATGATAATTTGGAGTCCCTAAGACAATCCGTACGATTGGCAGTGAAAAATTTTCCCATGGAAAGAGTGCGTGCTTCTATTGATAACTGGCCTCAACATTTAAAGGACTGTATTGCAGCCAATGGAGACCACTTCTAATAAGCTTTTTATACTTTAAATTGTTTTATATTTATTTATTAAACTAACACAATGTAAAAGTAATAAATGTTATTTGCAATAGAATTTTTTTTTTTAATTGTAACAATATTTATGGCCAGACTAAGTAAATCCAAGATTTTTGAAATAAAAGTTTTTGTAGCTGTTTTGCCAATGTTTTAGGATAGCTGAAGGCAAACCTAAACCAACCATAAAATGGATAGTTAATTCGAAGAGCCCAAACACAAACAAAGAGCTCTCATCGCATATTGGGGAAGAATTAATTCTCAGAAACATAACATTATCTCAAGCGGGTCACTACATTTGCGTTGCCGAGAATACATTCGGTCGGGCTCAACAAGATACGGATCTTATCGTGCAAGGTGATGGTGCAGCTAATAATAAAATATCAATAACGTTATTCACTTTAACCAATATTTTTAATATTTCGATATATTTTTTTTAGCTCCTCCGAAGATCCTCCGCAGAGAAGACGTACCTAAAGGTATCGTGGGAGACGTCGCTCTGAGTGTTCCTTGCACTGTCTCTGGATATCCGGTGCCGACGGTGGTCTGGAAAGCCAATGATACAGTCACACTCCACTCAGGTATTTTACATATTTTAATTTACACTAGATTTAGTAAAAAAAAAATTACATGTGTGCAATTCACACGTGGTAGAAGTGAAACCTTCCAAAATTAAAATACAATTATCCTAAACGTCTTAAGTATATGTAAAATTTTGTCATTAGTAAATAATTGTAAGGTAGCGCCCTCTGTGAATTTGATATTTTAATTTCACGTATAATCCTAAATTAAAATTCACTACAAGAGCTTTCATACACACGTTAGTATTAAAAAATCTTACAGATGGCGCTGTATTAAATAGTATGTATATATTTCTGTCTCATTCTTTGCTGGCTTCATCCTACATATTTTTGTATTTGTATCTCTTACCTGTCGTTTTTTCCGTTGCATCCGGTTTGAAATCACAACGATTCTAAAGAAGTTTTCACTTCAAAAATCTTACGACCGGGCGGTAATAAACTGAACTATTTGTAATTAAAATACTGGGCAGGTACTATATAATCAACAATAGAACTAACATACCTCTTCTCCTTTCCTTAACCTAACCGTTGTACGTCAGACCATGAGTTGATGGTGTTTAAAAGCACTCTTAAATTTCAGGCAGCAAGTATAACATCACCAAAGGAAACACATTGATCATTAACAATCTTGAACACGCCGATGCCTATACAAAGTACACTTGCGTTGCGAAAAATACTTTTGGCGAAGTTANCTCTTCTCCTTTCCTTAACCTAACCGTTGTACGTCAGACCATGAGTTGATGGTGTTTAAAAGCACTCTTAAATTTCAGGCAGCAAGTATAACATCACCAAAGGAAACACATTGATCATTAACAATCTTGAACACGCCGATGCCTATACAAAGTACACTTGCGTTGCGAAAAATACTTTTGGCGAAGTTAATCAAACCTTTGATGATATTCTATTCGGTAAGTGTTCCTTTACTGTTCTTTTTGAACTCACAGCATGGCCACGCTGATTTTACTGATACTAAAAGGTACCATTATACTAAAAAGAAAACACGCGAATCTACTCAATTTTCTATTAATTAGAATGGTTTATAGGGCAGAAATTGCCATTTCAGATCATCCTTGAATTGTTTATATTATAAGAGATGGATCAAAATCGATCAAAACTTCGAACACTGCATGTCATACTTTGCAAATATGGTAGTCTGCAAATATGGTAGTCACAAAGGACGTACTGTAGAAACTTGTCATTTTACAGAGAGACCAAAGTTCAGAAAACCTGTGATCACAACATCTGTGATGGAAGGCAGAGATGCTGTGATCCTGTGCAAGTAAGTAACTGATTTTAAATTATCGTTTAATACGTAATGCCTTCATTAGTACCCTGTTAAATTTAATTTAAACTCATTATTAAGCGAAATTCATTATAAATCCAAGATTTTTGAAATAATAGTTTTTGTAGCTGTTTTGCCAATATTTCAGGGTAGCTGAAGGCAAACCTAAACCAACCATAAAATGGATAGTTAATTCGAAGAGCCCAAACACAAACAAAGAGCTCTCATCGCATATTGGAGAAGAATTAATTCTCAGAAACATAACATTATCTCAAGCGGGTCACTACATTTGCGTCGCCGAGAATACATTCGGTCGGGCTCAACAAGATACGGATCTTATCGTGCAAGGTGATGGTGCAGTTAATAATAAAATATCAAGAACGTTATTCACATTAACCAATATTTTTAAACTTTCGATATATATTTTTTAGCTCCTCCGAAGATCCTCCGCAGAGAAGACGTACCTAAAGGTATCGTGGGAGACGTCGCTCTGAGTGTTCCTTGCACTGTCTCCGGATATCCGGTGCCGACGGTGGTCTGGAAAGCCAATGACACAGTCACACTCCACTCAGGTATTTTACATGACGAGGGGTTTGGTCCAGAGGAACTTTTAAAAAGTGTGACGTCAGCATTGCTAACGTCACTGCCTTCACTATTCAGCGCACTCATCGCAAACAATAAAACACAACCAGAAACACACTAAACAATTTATTTTACAAGACACCAAAGGGTTCTCAAAGTAATAGTTTTATAATCACAATTACAATAAAACAATAGGTAGGTACTCACAAGATATAATACACCAGCTCACCACGTCTTCACCGCCTGGCGCTCGAACAAAAAGTGTTTTAATATTCGTCTATCGTAGTTTCGTGCGCCAGCGAAATTAAACACTAAAAGATGGCGTCGGGCGGCAAAACGTCAACGCAATATTTAAATTGCAACTTCTCTAAATGATTAATTTTAATTACAAAAATAACTCGTAAACTAATTAAACATTTCGAAACTAATTAAGAACAATTGAATTAATTTTTAAATCTTAATCAAAGTTGAAACATCCGGTCTACAATGGCGACGAATGTTTCAATTGTTAAACAACTCATAATAATTTCATCAATTCATTTTAGGTTTTATTCTAACGCAAAACACATTCCAAAAATCATAACGCTAATTAATAACTAAAAACGACCAATTTATTCGACACAATGATTGATTTCATAATCACAACAATTACATTTGTTAATTATCATGGACTTGCGTCGACATACATAATATTTTAATTTACACCAGATTTAGTAAAAAAAATCTTACGACCGGGCGGTAATAAACTGAACTATTTGTAATTAAAATACTGGGTACTATATAATAATCAACAATATGACTAACAGACCTCTTCTCCTTTCCTGAACCTAACCGTTGTACGTCAGACCATGAGTTGATGGTGTTTAAAAGCACTCTTAAATTTCAGGCAGCAAGTATAACATCACCAAAGGAAACACATTGATCATTAACAATCTTGAACACGCCGATGCCTATACAAAGTACACTTGCGTTGCGAAAAATACTTTTGGCAAAGTTAATCAAACCTTTGATGATATTATATACGGTAAGTGTTCCTTTACTGTTCTTTTTGAACTCACAGCATGGCCACGCTGATTTTACTTATACTAAAAGGTACCATTACACTGAAAAGAAAACACGTGAATCTATTAATTTTTCTATTAATTAGAATGGATTATAGGGCTTAAATAGCCATTTCAGATCATCCTTGTCAAAACATCAAACAATTTTATATTTTAAGAGATGGATCGAGAAAACCTTAAAATCGTAACAAAAATCTAATCAAATCTTAGAGTACTGCATGTCATACTTTACAAATATGATAGTCACAAAGGACGTACTGTAGAAACTTGTCATTTTACAGAGAGACCAAAGTTCAGAAAACCTGTGATCACAACATCTGTGATGGAAGGCAGAGATGCTGTGATCCCGTGCAAGTAAGTAACTGATTTTAAATTCTCGTTTAATACGTAATGCTTTCATTAGTACCCTGTTAAATTTAATTTAAACTCATTATTAAGCGAAATTCATTATAAATCCAAGATTTTTGAAATAATAGTTTTTGTAGCTGTTTTGCCAATGTTTTAGGATAGCTGAAGGCAAACCTAAACCAACCATAAAATGGATAGTTAATTCGAAGAGCCCAAACACAAACAAAGAGCTCTCATCGCATATTGGAGAAGAATTAATTCTCAGAAACATTACATTATCTCAAGCGGGTCACTACATTTGCGTCGCCGAGAATACATTCGGTCGGGCTCAACAAGATACAGATCTTATCGTGCAAGGTGATGGTGCAGTTAATAATAAAATATCAAGAACGTTATTCACATTAACCAATATTTTTAAACTTTCGATATATATCTTTTAGCTCCTCCGAAGATCCTCCGCAGAGAAGACGTACCTAAAGGTATCGTGGGAGACGTCGCTCTGAGTGTTCCTTGCACTGTCTCCGGATATCCGGTGCCGACGGTGGTCTGGAAAACCAATGACACAGTCACACTTCACTCAGGTATTTTACATATTTTAATTTACACCAGATTTAGTAAAAAAAAATCTTACGACCGGGCGGTAATAAACTGAACTGTAGGGATATATACGACAAAGGGAAGATCTTCCACCGAGCGGGTGATATGGCTCGGTAGACCGACGGTCCGAATGTTGTTGTTCGGAACTTGTATATATGCGCTTTATCTTGAAAATGTCGTAAGCGAGATTCAGGCATCTGTCAATTATCTTGCGTTGTATGATGGCTACCCGCCACATCACTCCCCTCCGAGACTGGAGGTCGTGTCATTTTTAGTTAGCGTTGTCCGTGCTGAGATTAGCTTGCAAGGGCCAGTGCTGCTCGAAGCCTGCGGTGAGTCGAGGCTGAGCTTGAATGCTGCGTGCGTGTCGCCAGAGCTGCTCGAAGTTTGCAGTGAGTCGAAACTGAGCTGAATGCTGCGTGATTGTCGCCAGTGCTGCTCGAAGTCTGCGGTGAGTCGAGACTGAGCTTGAATGTTGCGTGCGTGTCGTGCGTAGTCCATGTGATGCAGAGCTGCCACGCCGGAGATGTGTGACCCCAAGCGTTGATGATCCGGTCGTGGGCTGCGATGAACTGTAGCG